CTATTGCTCAAAAGATGTGATACTTTTTCGGTGTAAATTTAATCAGAACCAAAACTCGGAAACCTTATAAAACTGAATGTTCCATTTATTTCACGACTCATTCGCTAATTCTGGGTACTAAGCTACATTCTTATTACCATATAGAGGACACTAAGCTAGAATGTGCAAGCACTGCGAATACTGAACTCAAAATCTCTACACTAGCTAAAAGCCAACTAAATGACCAGAAAAGCATTGTCGTTGTACGAATATTATTTAACTATAAAACTGTAGTGAACTATTTAAAACGGATGATCAAATGTACGAGACCATTCAAGTGTGGGAGAGCCAAGCTTCGGCACGAATGGGTCGGCTCGACCGGCGTGAAACAACCCACAGCGTTGTGTGTCGCCGTGTGAGCGAGGTTACCGGAGGCCCAATCCCTCCCCTTCCCCTATCCCTTCCCAATCCTTATATCCACAAACCCCATCTCCAAAAGGCCGGCAACGCACTCGTAACTCCTTTGGTGTTGCGGGTGTCCATCAGCGGCGCCGATTGCTTACCATCAGGTAATCCGTCTGCTCGTTTGCCGACTTATACCATAAAAAAAAGCATTGGCACGCATCGGTCACCTCGATCAAGGTGATATAACGGCATCACAGAAAACCGGCGTGAAACAATCACAGCGTTGTGTTTCTTCGATTGAGTGCGCTCACCAGAGACCCAATTCTTCCCATCTTCCATTCCTCCTCAAAGCCTAAACCCCAAAAGTTCGGCTACACACTTGCAACTCCTCTGGTGTTGCAGGTATCCATGGATGGCGCTGATAGCTTACCATGAGGTAATTTGCCTGCTCGTTTGCACTTAACAAATGGAAACGATTTTGGTCCGAAAGCCAAAATCGAAATCGAATAGTTTTGAAATTAATCATTAATGTCTGTAGGTATAGTAGACTTCTTTTAATCCCTTTAATTCGAAATAAAAATCTATTTCTCCTCGCCCCTCGTCTATGATCATCAAGTTCACGTGAGCTCAACGTTTTCTATTTTTAAATTAGCCAATCAGGACACAAATAAAATGCTGCGACGGAACCTTCTACGGCCGGAACGTACTGACTCAATGTGTTTTTTCTAATTTCATCTTCCAAATGAACGTTTCGTGTTTCGTAAATGGAAAAATAATTACGTTTTTGTACTTTCCCCCCGGTACTGGCCAACCACCGAGTTTTATTGGGACTATAGAATTACATTTTACGAAAACGTGTTGGTTTTTAAAGTGTTACTTGTACCTACAAAAATTCTCTTGTATTTTTATGATGGTCAGGTTGAAATAACGGTCCATGATAACACCGCGAGGTTTTATAACAAAGCTTTCAATTTTAATTTTATATTTTTGCGAAATATTCTCGTCTTTTAGGTGTCAAAAACAGCGGTCTGAATATAAAAGCATCGGTTTTATATGACAGAAATCGCGGTCGGAAAACATTTTTTTTTCTGTTCAATGAATGCAAAAATTAGAATTTTAAGTAAACTATTATTTTTCCGCATTGGCATTACACTACTAACACATAAGTCTTATCATTTATTAACCTTATTTCTGTTTTAACATCACCATTATCACGATAATGATGATGTCCTTCATATTTTGATGGAGTGTGCCCGAAATGAAAATACCAGGCTCAATATTTTTGGTTTACAAAGGTCAAAAGACATAGGATATTGCAATTCTGTTCTTTCGTCTCCAATGTCTGATGAAGCACAACATTTGTACAAATTAGTGATAAGTAGATCGTAAGCTAGTAATAAGTTACCAAACCTTGTTTTTTCTGCACTGGGCGATATGGTCGCCAAGCGACAAAGCCCATAAATATAAAAAAAAAAAAAAAACCATTATCACCGTCGCCATCAAAGGTGACTCTCTTATTATAGGAAAAAAGTATAGGTACTAACCACTACGCTTAGTCAAGGCGAATTGGGGATCAGATTTCCACATAATGTTTTCCTTCACCGTATGTTAGTGGTGTCTTATTAAACTAAGAATCTCCGGAATAAGTCACATTGGTACTTGCTAGGTCTTGTGCATAAAAAGCGGATGGCTTAACATTCGGGAAACCATGACCTTTCGCCTTACCACGAGTTTAAAGTTTCAGTTAGACATAACGAAAAGTCAAAGTTATTTGAGTCCACAAACATACATGAGCACGTCGATTAAGAAACACAAAAGAGAGACAAGACACGTTGTTGTGCTAAAATTGGTCTAAAATCTACATACTAATAAAGCTCACTGTAGCTCAAATGTAGAGCAATTTGCTCCTAACGAGTCTACATTTGGGAACAAGCACTCACCAACTTACCTATTATGAGAGACTAGCAAGAATATTCAGATTTACATTTTGTCGTTTTGGACTTCAATACAACAAGCTTAGAGTCCAATTTGAATGATAGATATATCTTTAATTATGATATACCTTATCAGATTTTTTTATCTTCAGAAATTCATAAACAAAATTTTCCCAACTCAACAAAATTCCTATCTATCCTTTCCAAGAGGAATCTCATTGTGACATAAATAAGGTTCTTATTTTAATCGGGCTCCAAAATTTAATACAAGACGCGGGACGTTTAAAGTTTGCCTTCCATTCAAGGAATGAAAGCTGTCGATCCGCAGCTACAGAAATTTAATTTTGCAAGATACTTTGGCTTTACTCCTGAATATATTTTCATCTGCTTGGACAAATATAACTTTGGGCATCCTAATTTCATTGAAACGGTAAAGAAGGGTACCCTTTTAGTTAAATATCGAGGCCAAAAAGGTGGAATTTAACCCAGGCCTTTTGTCAGTAAAGGTGTTAATAACACAGTACAATAAATATGTAGCTATGCTGAATTACCTAGCTGTAATTTTTAGTCCAACTTTATTTTTTTCTGACCTCTAGGGAAATTGAGGACGGCACCACCCTCCATTTTAATTTCGACACGAAAATATTAAATTTGAACGGATAGGCTAACGAAACCTGTCTGTGTTAAATAAAAGCTGTTTTTGTTTATTATTTGAGTGTGTTTTATTTGTTTGTAATATTGTATTTCTTTGGACACTAATTTTGTTAACTAGTTTTCGGAAAATATGTCGGTTTAGACATTCTTAAATAATTTAAGTACCCATATACAGATAGAAATAGAATTCTCACATCTTTTTGAGTATTCGTTTCATTGAAATAAACTATTTTATTACCAAATAGCAAATAAAATCCTTTTAAAATTATAAAATAAATACGAAAGTTGTACTGTAAGTATGGATGTGTGGTTGTCTTGTGTGTTTATGTCTCTATCACGTAAAACCTGCAGAACGTATTCGAATGAAACTTGGCGTAAAGATAGATTGTAGTCTAAAATACGGCATTACCTACTATTTGCACTGGTAGTGCCTTCAAAGCCACTTGCAGATGTTCGTTTTCCAATCAAAATTTTAAGAGTAAAAGAGTCATGTTTCTGCACGAATGGGCCGGCTCGATCGGAGTAATACCAAGGCATTACAGAAAACCAGCATGGAACAAACACGGTGTGTGAGTGAGTTTTTCGGTGTCCTAATCTATCTCCGCCTACCATTCGTCCCCAATCCCTAAATTGGCAACACCCCAGTTTGTCAAATTTCCAGCAACGTTCTCGAAACTCGTTTAATTTTGGGGTTGCGGGTTTCTTTAGGTGGCGCCGAGTGCTTACCATAAGGCATTCCGGCTGATCGTTTTTATCATTCACACTAATATTAAAAATGCGAAGTCACTCTGTCTGTCTGTCTGTCTTTTCTTCACGCCTAAACTAATGAAGCGATTTCTGTGAAATTTGGTACAGACATAGTTTGGACTGGACTGGAGACTCGAAAAAGGACATAGGATAGTTTTTATATCAAAAATCAGCAGGAAGTCACTATTCCTCGCGGACCGAAGGGGCAAAAGCTAGTATAAAAAATACTTAAGTAGAAATAAATTTTGAAAAATTATTTTAATACCTAATTTACCAATACAATAATTGTGAGAATAACCAATGCTAAAAATAAACTTTCCAAAAGTGAAATATATTTTTCAAGTAGCTACCTAATTTATTATTTTATTCTTCAGCTTTAAAAAGCTGTCATTCTAAATTTAATTTAACAAACTCTATTCAAATATTTATTTGAATTACCAAGTAATCTAATTGGCTAGTTGCTCGGATCTCATTGAATTCGTCATTCAATTTGATATTAAACAGATCAGCTCTTGAGACTGAACTATTAATCTTACTAGCTTGAAGGAATTGCGCTGAATTTGTGAAACACTTTATGTTTATGTCTGAAATAGAATTGTACTTTAAGTCATCTAAATAGACACGGTGCGTCGTTTGCTGGACATTGTTGGAAAGAGTATATCTTTTATCTATGCGGGCGATGACGCAGTCTTTAACCGCAGTATTAGAAATTCACGACGCCCTGTGCGTGCGTAAAGGAGGCCTTTAAGTTCTAGGGCTTAGGTCCATCCAGGGTTGCAGGCGAAAGCGCAATAAAGAGAAGGCACGGGGTAAGAAAACAAGAGTCTGGTACTCGTTATGAAAGACGTCATTTGCCGCCCACAAATAAAAAGAGATGGTGCAGAATTTTGGTTTATCAACAAAAACAGCTCGTTCTAGTCCTCTGTTGAACTTAAAGGCCTCCTCAACATAATTTTTTCTTCCTAGGGGAGTGTCAGACTCTTACTGACAAAAAACCATCCCGTTCCTTCGCCTGTCTCTGTATTTACTAGCTTTCACCTGCGTGGTATGTAGATAAAAAGTAGCCTATGTCCTATTCCGGAGTTTATCCTATGCCTATGCCAAATTTCATCTAGATTTCGTCCAGCCATTTTGGCGTGATTGAGTAACAAACAACCAAAATTATACATCAAGCGAACTTGACAGACAGAAAGATATACTGGAAGAGAATGCAATGAGCTTCTTCCAGTCCATCTTTGGGTATATATTTGTGTCATATCTAATGAGAACATGTTGTTCCAGGATACAAGATGTCGCTAGCTGTATGCCGGGACCGCTTGACAGGGTCTGATGCTCCAGAGCAGCTGTGTGATGCCTCCAGCAAGCCTCAGGCCTCAGTCGTCAGGTGTAACACGCATCCATGTCCATTCAAGTAAGTTTTAGAAAAAAAATATGTGATACAATTCCTAACATTTAATTTTCATTCTCGTTATACACAGAATTTATAGATTAATTTTTTTATCAATTGAAAGAAATAATTTACATCCGATTCCTTAAGCCTTTGACTGCAGACAGAAAACTGTTGAAGGCAAATCCTCGGATAATGGTGGTCACCGCTGACCCTCATGGCGTTTAACGTGTTAAGTAGTTACGCTTTGTGTAGATAGGTACTTAAAGTATTTTTTTGAAACAAACAACAATTGAAAAACCTGTTTAATTAAGTAAATGAATCAGAAGAAAGAAAAAACAATTTATAACATTAACTAGCAAACGGGTTAACCTGATAATAAGCAATCACCGCCACCCATGGACACTCCCAATACCAAAGTAGTTACTACAAGTGCGTTGCTAGCCTCTGTTTGTTAAGGATGTGGGATGGAGAGGAAGATTCAGCCTCCGGTAACCTCATCGTGAGGCCGTGTTATCACTCCGGTCGAGCCGACCCATTCGTGGAAAAGCATGAATTTCCCACTTGCTTGGATTTTTAATAGAAATATTTTCTGCCCACAGATGGTACGTCGGCGAGTGGTCGTCGTGCAGCGTGACCTGCGGCGGCGGCGTGCGTTCACGCCGTGTCCTCTGCGCGAGATCTGCAAATGTCACTAAGACTGATACTTACGAACCTGGTGAGTATACCCATGAAAGTAGAACGTCAAACAAGATACTTGTTAACAACGCAAATCACGTAGGCCATGGAAATAATAGGACAAACATTCTTGACAAGAATTAGCAACTTGAAGAAGGTAGCATATATTTGGTTAACCAGACCCGAGCGTACGGCGTGTGGCGTTCCGCACGCGCCTCAAAGAGCCAATAGACCACCACAGACGGGGCTCAATAGGGCTGATGTTCAGCCGGGGTCGCGGGTTAAGCGCAATAAGGCAAGGCAGAGCAGGAGAAGGAACGGAGGGTTTTTAGTCAGTAAGAGTCTGACACTCCCTCCCGCCTGACACTGGGCAGGAGAAGTAATTTAAAGATATTCCACTCACAAAAAATGGGCACATCAATAATCCGCCGTAAAAAATCTGCTCAATATCACTTATATACCCACCTATGACATGTCGATGAAAATTCACTCATAATTATTATTTTTCACAGGCACGAACTCGGAGCCAGGCTGCGTGTCTCCAGCGCCACGAGCTACACAACCATGTAACCAACACGACTGTCCCGTCTGGGTGGCAGGACCTTGGTCTGGGGTAAGTTATTATGGTTTTAGACACAATAGTTCTCAAACAATTAAAAATAACTGAATTTTTGTATCATTAATTTTAAAAGCCCCAGTGTGCTTAGAAACTTATCGAGCGTGTTCGAATAGTTAAATTCTGTATGCCTCAGAATCTAATATTGTGTTCTATAAATATTTATGAATGCTTTTTTTACCCTTGGCAGCGACGCTTGCGTACAATTAGGTAATCCATAAGATCGGTTGCCGTACTATCACATAAAAAAAATATAATCATAATGCTTTTTACCCCAGAGCAATAAGTACCTACTAGTTGTTTTTAATATTTTTTTACCAAAATTGAATTATATTAGCTACCAGTATAGATAGTGATGTAGGTACTAAGAATTTTCTATTTCTTTTAAACAAAAACTCACAACAAATAAATAAATAGCATTGAAACTCATATCCAAAGTAGCTACACACAAGACTTATAAATCCGATACAAAGTGTACAGTAAGCAGCTCATGTTGTCGATAAACTATTCTACGCTCAGTATGTGTAGTGCGAAACTTTATTGCTTTTCTGTACTTACGTAGAGTGCAGGCGCTATGCAATTTTCTTGGGGACGTGTTTTGTAACATTGTTGGGAGAGTCTTGTATTTATTTTTAATCGACGTACCTACATACATTAATGGAATAGAAGTGACGCCATTTTCTTTTTTTTATTTAGATGTTCGTTTTTCATTTTTATTTATTACGTATTTTTGTCTAATATTTTTTCCGTTATTTAACCTTTTTTTCTTTACAAAATTTTGATCATAAATACTCGTATAGGAGGACGATCAAGTGGTTCTTTTTTTAAAAACTTATGTTTTTTTTACAATCTCAATGAAAACCGGCGTGAATTTATGTTCGCGTAATATTACATCGAGTGAGTGAGGTTATGGTGGCCTAATCTTTCCGTCTAATCTCCAATCCCCAAATCCCTTACCACAAAAGATCAACAATACTTGTAATGTATCTTGTGTTGCATGCTTCAATTGGGTGCCGCCGATTACTTAACATCGGGAATCAATTCCTGTATTCGTTTGCCAACCGCTAAAATGCTAACTCATTAGAAAAAGAGAAATTAGCTTATAATATTACTGACAAAAACTGTACTCACGATTTCCCAGGTATAGAGGTACATATAACATATCCTAAGGTCACCTTGAAAGTCCTAGGACGATCTCCAACGTCCCTAGATGCCCTTGATGTAGTTGGCTTTTCATCGACAACTACAAATTATATTATTTAGATCAATATAGCTGATAGGATTAACTTGATTATATTAAACGAATAATTGGTTGGTAATTTAATTTAAATATACTATTTTACTAGCGGCCCGCCCCCGCTTCGCACGGGTCCAACTATCTCGCTATCAGAGGGTCACTTTTTCCTAATCTTCACCTCTACTTTTTCTAATATGTGCTTTCATAAGAACCTACTCCTGACAATAACACACATAACAAAAAAAGAATCAGTAGAATTGGTCCAGGCGTTGTTGAGTTATGCGCTTACCAACATATTGCGATTCATTTTTATATATAATAAAGATAACTGAATCCAAAACTACAACTATCAGACGAATAACAAGCTAAAAAAGAGATCCCATTAGAAAATGCTAAAACTCGACCAAATAAAAAGTCCTCCTTACCTCCAATTAGAGAAAGTTTCACTCTGTCTTTTTAATTTGTCCGCATTGACGTAAAGTCTAGGGAACTTAGGTGAACTTAAAGCTTGTTAGGCAAACTTTAGACGGGGAGTATTCCAGCCATGTTAGTTCGTGATTACAATTTTGTCTGGCTCATTAATTCGTGTGGCTCTATATTGACTGCATAGTTTCTAGTTCAAAATGTTTGGTTTTGAACTTTGACTTTGAGTGTCAAATTCTTAATAGGATTGCCACAAAACTTGAGTTTATAATGCCTAGATTGGTTTCGTGTTTAAATTTATTTGATGAATATTATATTGTGCGACGCACTTCGTAGGCGTACAATCTCGATACTAAATTTCTCCACTTTTAATGGAGGTGATTATAAATATAAACCTTCTTCTTGAATTATTAAAACAAATGCATATAAATCTGGAAGATTTAAGCATACATAGGGAAACTGTTTCGTTTTATACTACATATGTAGTGGTAAAATGTACTGTGATGGATTTGTAGATAAGTTTAATATTTATTAGTGTAATTTACCATTATTAGTGGTATATTTTTGAGTTTTTGTGAAAGTCTGAATGACTAGTTCCTATTTGTTTTTGTCTGTTTGATTGTTTGTTTTAAGTTCAAGGCTAGAGTGAATAGGCTCTTAATAAACTAGCATCACTGCTTACCATCAGGTGGGATCGCAGTCAAGAACTAGTTTATTGCAAGTATAAAAAAAAACTTTTTATATTTCGTTTTTTCTGTTCCTTTATTATTTTATTATATATGTGTTATTGTAACTGGATTAAATCGGTGTTAACATAAATAAATAAAAAAGGACTAAAGAGATTTATCAAATAGTGGAATACATAATCCTAAATTATGAATATCTTTACTAGCATTTCTTTAAGCCTTTTAATAGGTATGTTTATTTTTTATTGACCTTACATAAACTCTAGATTACAATCAGTTGTGAAAGCTTATTTCAAAACTTAATTTATATTCAAATCACTTTATTCCAAACCAATATTATAAAATGAAATAAAAACTAGTATTAGGTATAAATGCGAAAGTTACTCTGTCTGTCTGTCTTTTCTTCACGCCTAAATTACTGAACCGATTTCTGTGAATTTTGGTACTCACAGACATGGTTTGGAACTCGAGAAAGGACATATGATAGTTTTTCTACAAACAATCTGCAGAAAGTCACTATTCCACGCGGACGGAGTCGCGGGCTAAAGCTAGTACTTAAAACTATCTAAAATACCTAACTGTTAACCATAATATTAACGAAACGTCATCAATGCACAAAGCAATTTCTACCATAACTCAAAAATAATAACGCTCACATTCATTCCTCAGTGCTCAGTGTCATGCGGCGAAGGTGTGCAAGTTCGAGGTGTCGAATGCACGCCATCTGGTGGCGGGTGTGATCCAACTACAAGACCTGAGATATCACGACCATGCTCCACGGGCATCAGCTGCCCAGCTTACAGAGAATCTGATGAACCTGAGGTATGTTTAATTAAAGAAACATTTAAGCAATTACTGGTCTAGATTTCAGGTTAATAATACAGGTTAACCTGAATTTAGTTTAAGCTACTGTAGCAGATGTCGAAGGTATCTTAATAATTCTAAACATCATGAGATTTCACTGTATTTTGCAGAGCAGAGCCGAGGTTGGCATTCATCATAACAACATTTATTACAGTGTTCAACTCTTGTCTAACTAAGAATGTGTCAAAGTCTCTAGGTTATGAACGATAGATGGCAGTAATTTCAAGATAAATATTGACATTTCGAGTTAGTTCTTTTAGTTCTTTCTCTTCTAGTTAAAACCCCAAAGTGGACACAGCCCACACTTCCGAGAAGATAATTATAATAGTAATAAGTAAATATTTTTTATTGTACGCCATAGAAGCTTGTATCAAAAGTGTTAAGTGTAAGAAAGATCCGAAATGTTTATGTACAAATGCGGTGCTAAAAGCCGTAATATCTACCAGGCAACCTTTAGGTGAAGCGAGTTGTAGATGGTGGTATACCAGGTGTACTCTGGTGCATGAAAAGTGTTCGTTTATTTTATTTTTCATTGCATCACCTTCTTCACTTACTTACTTAACAACTTAAATATGATGTAATAAGGTTGAATAGAATTTGTTATTCGTTATTCTCTATAGGAATCCACACTTTGGAACGAGTACCTATCTTCAGCGACGAATATACTGACAAGCTTATTCTATTTTGACGTTTCAAAAGTACTTATTTATGGTTTCGTTTGATTAAATGATTTTAACTTTGATTTTGACTTTGAAAATCATTATGTTTCAAGAAGCATATACAATATTTTACTGCCAAGCATCTAAACTACAATTGCCTTCTTTTCACCTAGGATGAAATCGAAGACCTGCTCCCAGGAGTGGTCTACCACACCCAGCCGTTGATACAGCCGTATCCGATGCCACAAGCGAAAGCTGAACGTCTTATCGGAGACCCTGATGTACCGGTTGAGGCAACGTAAGTACCTATTCAAGTAGACTTGAACAGTGTGGAGGCAATTTTATTTATGTAACTTTTAGACAATCATTTACTATATCAAATACATGGTATGTTATATCAAATTTTCTATTGTCATCTATATTTTTCTAACTTAAGTGGTTCCTAACATATCTTTAATGGTTAAGCAGTTGGTACTGGCGATCGCTAAGTACAAATACAAATCAGCTTCATCTAGTTTTTCATATTATTATATAATTTTGACGTGTATAAGTGCCGTTTTATGGCCCATTTGCAAAAATAAATTGATTGTTTCATTATTTTAAAACGATTAACTGTAAAAATAAGAGTTAAGTAACGGAAAAGTACTTTACACAAATAGTTTTGTATAAAACGGGACCTATCCTTGAAGCATTGGACACACCAGTTACGCTCACAAAAACACCAAACGACTTTAATAGAATTAGTAGTGATACTAAAATAATCTGCCCAGTTAAGTGCATGAACGCACCTAACCAAAACCTTTATCAAAAACCTTATGAACGAACCTCACTTAGAAAAACTCGTGCCTAACAAGCCATTTAAAATGGTAGTAGTAGTAATAAGCACATAATACTCAAAAAACTTATTTTAACCTGATATATGAATTTCAATAGAAAATCTTCAATGCGTCTATTAAAAGTTTTTCCCTTCGAAGCAATGAAGTTTTTAAACAAATTTATATTATGGTGAAAAGTCAGACAGCGTATTTTTATCCATCGTTTCACCTGCAGAGGAAAGAATTAATAAAGGAAGGTGACATTTCGGCCGCTTTAACAATGCTTTAAACGCAAAAGCGCCATCTATGAGTCAGGGATGAGAACTATAATTATGATCATCACACATCATCAGCCTATGAGTGCACACAGCAAAGCATAGGTCTCTTCTCACACTCAAAAGGTTTGAACATGAATCAATTCGCTTGCTTAAGGCGGATTGGTGATTTCAAACTAATATAATTTAAAATAAATCTAGCTTTCCTTACATATTTTACTTTACTGTAGGTCAGGAGTGTATAAATAAAAAAATTAGAAAGTACATATAACCCGGAAAAATCACATTAGATACTAACCAGGTTTCCAAACCTTATGTATGTGAAACAGTTAACTACAATATTTTTTTTTCTCTTTTTTTTAAACTTTGCCCCAACACTAGGATTTTCTCGTGTCGGGGGTGCGTTTACAAACATACAATTTCACATGTACATCACACCCAGACCCGAAACAACAATCTGTGGATCACACAAAGAGTTTTTCCGTGCGGGAATCGAACCCGCGACACGTTGCGCGGCAGCCAGTTACCCAGCCACCGCGGCAATCGTGCAGTCAAATCATTATTCTTATGTTATAGTAACTATACTTATAATAAGTTGGATTTCTTTTTTAAATAATGCAGTTGGTAATTCGTCTTATAATCAACGTGTTTTATATGAATATAGTTTTTAGGTTTTTTGTCGCATATAAACGTGAAAGAGAGACAAAGAAACAAAAAAAAACACTTTTGATAATTGAACTTATACATCTTTGATCTAATTTATCATTTAAACGATGCTAAAAAACAAATTTATTTTGAATTATTTTTTCTACGATTTCAGAAGAATAAGCAAAAACATATTAAATTGAAGATTTAATAATAGTGTGTGTGAAAGTAATATTGATATACATCTTGTATTGAATTTATCATTGAAACGAATCTGATAATACATTTTATTTCGTTCAAATTTGCGTTACTATATATATTTTGAATGTTTAGTTCTCCAACACTCTTTGTCTATTAAGTTTCAATGCTAATATGGCTAATTAATTAAATCTTAATTCTAATATATATTAGGTTTAAAATTAATTGAACCAAATTGTAAATTCTATTTTCGAGTATTCTGCGTCGAGGACTACTAAATCAATACTTTTACACAGAGGTCCCTCTGTATAGTATCTAAAAATATAACTGACTGGAAATAGACTATGTGCGATACGCTCACATTGCCATTTCTAGGAATATCAGACACTTTTCTATGTGTGTACGTTATTTGCAAGATTTTTCTTCTAATTAGGTTCCTAGGTCAAAAATAAATTAATTCGACGTTACAATATAATCAAATATTGAAAAATAAGTGTACTTTTTTATTCATCGATCTATCCATACACTGAATTTTATTATAAGCTATTTTTTTAAGAAATAAGTACTCTATTTGACGCGAAAATACTGTGCCGTCATAACTCAGTGTTTCATAGAAATATGATAGAAAAGTATCGTTTTTGACATTTCGATAAAAGTATTGAATTTGAAGGTGAAGGTAAACATCGTGAGGAACCTGAACTTTAAGTTTGAAATCGCCAACCCGCATTGAGCAAGCGTGGTGATTAATGCTCTAACCTTCTCCGTATGAGAAGAGGCCTTTGCTCATCAGTGGGCACTTACATGCTGATGACTGAAGATGATGATTGAATTTGACTAGTTGGAAACTACCGTATTGTAACATAAGTTACTCGCTCTTAGGTAATTGTAACTTACTCGCTATTAGCACTTGGAAAATCATTGATGAAAAGAGAGTGTCATTATTGTGTTCAGTCTATCCTTTTGGGAATCAAGTCCTGACGTATTTATGAATAACATCTATATATATAAAAGAAAGTCGTGTTAGTTACTCCACTTATAACTCAAGAACGGCTGAACCGATTAAGCTGAAAATTGGCAGGGAGGTAGTTTAGAGGCAGGGGAACGACATAGGATAGAGTAGGTAGTGTAGGTAAGGTAGAGTAGGGTAGGTAGAGTAGGGTAGGTAGAGTAGGGTAGGTAGAGTAGGGTAGGTAGAGTAGGGTAGGAAGAGTAGGGTAGGTAGAGCAGGGTAGGTAGAGTAGGGTAGGTAGAGTAGGGAAGGGAGTGTAGGATACATAGAGTAGGGTAGGTAAAGTAGGGTAGATAGAGTAATGTAGGTAGAGTAGGGTAGCTGCAGAAATGACGGGAGCGACGCCGCGGGTAAGAGCTACTTATTAATACTTTAGCAACAGGATCCTCGGAAAGGGAATCCATTAAATGGCATACATACACAAATGTATTCTTCGGCGAAGTCTGTGTTCCCCGATGGGGTTGCTATCTTTATGGCCCGAGAACAGTTTGAAGATATAAGCTTATCATTCGGGGAGGCGTGCTCCATCGTAGGTCGCTTACCACCAGGCAAGATAGGAGCCCATTGCAATTAAAGGGCTGGCATCATCGCTTTGCGATTAAAATTTCCCTTTATCAATTGCAATTAAAAATGATATATACATATAAATCTCGTTCGAAATTTGGCAAGTAAAAAAAGCTAATGTGACTAGTAATTAGTTCGCTAGTACAGTTATTTATACTTTCTAAGTCAATTTATTAAATAACCACTGACATACGGTCATTAAAAAATGATGTGAGGAAACCACCGCTATATTTTCTAATCATAAGTTTTGAAATCGCCATACTGCTTTTTTTGTGAGAAGTAGCCTTTGTCCAGCAATGGACACTTATAGACTGATGATGACGATGTAAAAAGCGGATCAAAATCGTCTGAATACAAGGATTGGTAACATTTTCTTCAAGTTCTAACCATAGAAAGAAATGCGGAGACAACCTTCAAAATAATTCTGATCATAGTACAAATATTAGAATCGAGAGAGAGAGAGAGAGAGAGAGAGAATTTGAGGAATGCCGTGATGGGATCTCGCCAATTTGATCTTCCTTACGAATTAGCTTTTCAATAACACTCAGATTTGAACAAGCGTTGTTGGTTCCTTCATTTTTTGTTTTGTCATTTAAGAGATTTCCGGAATCTTATCAACCACAGTTTTCACCACCATCACCAATTTTAACATCAACTGCCTCCACACTGCTATCTAGTTCTTCTACCAAACCGTTCACATTAAACTCAACGTCAAAAACAGCATGTGCCATTAAAATTTCAATTTTATTTTCTATAACAATAAAATTCAAATCTCTGATACCATTGTCAGTATACAAAGCTCAGAGTATTTTGTTGTTGTTTTTTCAGCAATTACAAAATATTCTTTGCGTGTGGCTGGTTGTATGTAAGGTATTGTACCTATAATAACAAGCGTTTTTAAAGGTTTCACTTCAAACATTACACATCTTTTACAAGGAATGACATTACCCGTCCTTTCAATGAACCTTTTTGCTCGTAGACTTGTTTATAGCTTGTGTGTTACCTTAACCGTCTTTAATTTTATTTGCAAAGGGTGAGATTATAAATTGGCTATGAATATTAGCAATTATTTTGCTAGTAATATCTAAAGTATTATTAATTATGAGCCTAAAGCAGAAACAGTACCTAATTTGTAATTTAAAAATCATTTAAATAAAGATGCAATAAGAACCGTCTTAAATTATCGATGAAAGTATTATTTCATTTATCAATGAGTTAAGAAAAAATGTCTTTTGAGAACAAATTTTCAGATAATCTCAGCCTATAAAAATTAAAGACGATTTCTTCTATTTTTGATTCCTAGTGTTCGTTTTTGAACCTAACCCGAGTGTTAATGGAAACCTACCCCTTCCCGGGATGTCTAGATATAGTAGTGATGATAATTATGGGGATGTTACGGTTAAACGCACATATTATTATAAAAAAACCAATACATACGCACATCTTCAAAATGATTGCACCAATTTGGATATATTTTTGTTTGTTTCCTTTACAAAGTTTGTGTTTTAGAAAAAAAATACTAGAATTTAGAAGATGACGCCTTTTTTATACTGGTACGTGACACTACTATCTTAGAAAACGTACTTCAAATGCATAAGCACATTAATAAAAACCACTAAGTACACCAAATCGCATGTAGATTTCGTAACAAGCAACGAGTTCTGTGAAATATTGAAATGAATAATTTTGGAGGATAGTTAGTAAATTATAATGAATTTTTGAAAAGTGCGAAATCTATAAAGATTCCTAATTTGAAAAAATCTTTTTTGTTGTATTCGTTATACATATTAGTAGAGCCTGAAGAATTCTTGTTTTTACAAGATATTTACAAGATCACAGGATAAGTCAGCAAAGCAAAAACGCAGCACTGGAGTAAAAAATATATTTTTAAATTACCACGATTAAAGTACAAAAGGTCACTCAAACAAAGTAAAGATTTGCAGGGATTTAACTAATGCTCCCGAAGCTAATGAACCCAAAGCTTTTGAAAATGTTGACTTGAATGATCTTTTTGTGAATATCTCCAAGTAACGTACTTAAATTAACGATGTTCTTGTGTTTATATAAGTAAGAGTAAGTCCAATTTTAATCAATAAACTCTGGACTTTATACTGAAGTGAAAAAGCTGAAAATGTATTGAAGAAAGGTTGAGAAGGTTGAGTTACTTAATAGATTGAATTAATTAAAACATAAATATGATTTTCCTTATTGACCCTGGTAAATGATTCGTTATTTTTATATTTTTAAATATTAGTATTGCCGAAGCTCAAATCATTGAATTTAATAACAATATTATTAACCGTACCATTAGTTTAGTGTATCGCTTTATTATGAAAATTTCTTTGTCACTAGCTTATTTGCAATTGTATTCAGTTTGGAAACTTGTAGAATGAAAAACCTATTCAAATTAAATTAAATTACGCGTGTATATATAATTAGTGGCACACTTTTCACATCAAAAGAACCCGGAAAATGTCAGGAAAGTTAAAATATCATTTGGAAGCAACCTATTTTAAGCACCGGAGCACACGACACCTAGATTATAATTGATAATGTGTAAATATTATTTATAAACTATAAAATCCCAAGAAATCCTAATTTGTAAACACAACATGCACGCACAAGTGTAAATAATACAGTAGACAAGAAAAATCTAGAAATAGACAACGAACAGGCCGATGTAACAGATGGACTTAGCACTGCTTTGGAGCACGTAGCGACACAAGGCCCAGATATCCCAAGCCGATAGCAAATATGAACAGATCTTATTATAAAAACGAATCACATAAAATCCGTAACATCCCTTATGTAAATATTAAAACGAACGACACTACACAGAGGAAACCTCCCTTCAAACCCACTCAACTATTGATGAGCAAATCTGTATGCACAGCATATTATTTCAATTCACACTGACCCAAACCATCGCACACATCATCTCAACTTTACTCTGCTCTGATTTCTATTTTTCTACTATATGCACTGCACATAAGATTTATATTTCCTTGCACATAATATAATACACGAACCGTTTGTCTTGCAACGTTTCCTCGCTTACACTTTTACCAATTGGCACTGAACATTTACCTAACTAACACAAAATTGATACACACGAATTGATTTTTTCAAAAGTATACTCTTTAATGTGTTCGAATTTACAGGTATTGGGTGATTAAATACATTTTACACTGGTGCATACTTCTACATATACCAGCCCGAAATTTTTTAGGATACATAGCTGCCCTTAGCACCTCGCATGACGACCTATAATGCTCCCGTGTGAATCTACAATAGATAGATATAGATTTTTTCCTTTTAAAATCCGGGCGACTTTCGTAGGGTTGGGCTTGGCACACAGCAAATTAGGATTTTGTGAGAATTTTAATAAAATCCTTCTGTAGTCTACAAAGACGGTAGAATCTAATTTAATTAACTTCAAAATATTAATTTGGAACATCATTTGTGAGCAAAATGAAATACAAAATTAAACGCATGAGTAACAAAATTTAAATGAAAAAGTTACAAGCCTAAATTGCTGTGTTAATCCCATGATAATTAAGCAGCCTCTTCGTGTAATAACAAATTGTTTTGTGTTTAGTTACATCAAAGACGATGATTGGGGTCCATGCAGTGTGACCTGTGGAGAAGGTTGGAGGAAGAAGGAGGTCCATTGCAAGATATTCTTGGAGTTTAGTAGAACTATTGCAAAGCTACCTGACAGCAAGTGCTTGGGGCCTAAACCTACAGAAGAAACGGAGAGATGCGTCATGGAACCATGCTCCATGGCTTATGGGACCTCGTTTGGAGATTCCAGCGTGCCATCATATGGTGGTAGCGGCGGTGATAGGTGAGATTCATTAAATACTACTTTATATTAGTAACATGCTTTTAATCTGTTACGTTATTAACTTAAATTGTCTTAAGTAATGCCTTAATTATCTCGATTGATCTTTTTTACACTAGAGCAACAATAGAAAGAAATCCTTATAACATTCCTTAATATTTGATTATAACTTTTTAAAAACTAAACTAAATATTCAAAAGTCACATATACCATTTGAAAAAACTAAAGCTTTCTGTTTATAATAGCGATCATTTTTTTGCGATATAATTGAAAATATACGCTCATTACCTATCAGTAGTAAATTATCGCTAAAGCAATCGCTAGGACACACAATCAATCTGCAAAGTATAAATGAAAACAAATCTTCAACGAAATCATATTTTTACTATCTCCATTAGCTTATCCAGTACTCCATTATCTACTGCTTCTTTAACAACATCATTTACCCTGATCTTATGTAATTCATTATCTTCAGGAGCATCTGTGGGCTCTATACTCAAATCTAATCTCGACCCTTTGAATACCGATTCATCTTCAGCTGCCATTGTAACAATTCTAAGTTCAACCATAGCAATCAACAGTCCATAAGGTTTAAATTCTTCAATATCTGCATTAAAATCTTCCCTTTTATAAACATCGTCAGCCTTAACGTCGAATTTGTTTAAGAACACTTTTAGATTGTCATAGTATATCGTTGTAAGGAGATCAAAATGTTCAGATCTGAATTCGGAGTCGGTGCTAATGAATAGAAAGTACATGATGTCAGTGACTGGGTTGGCGTATCGCATCGCTTGGAAGTCTATGAAGCATACTTTTCCAGCCTGGAAACAAAAGATTAAATAATTGAAATACTGTTGAATTGAAACAATTGCATGGATACTAGATTGCATGCGGTAGTGGTTGGATAACCAGCTGTGATCTACAAATTATTAGTTCAAATCGGAGTATAATATTTGTAAACACACAGTCAAGATTTTTCTTGAAAATATAAATGATCTAAATAAGTTTTTAATAGGATTTTCAAAGCATTATTTCGATTTTTCTCGAAACATTAAGACAAGTAGAGAGTCTATGACTGTCCGCTTTATGGTATTTAAAAGCTCTCTTATTATAAGGAAATCTATAACTCATTACTCCCCTCCCACCCCGCATTCTTTAATTCCCACATCCCTAACACCCAAAAACAAGTTGCAACTTGCCTGGTATTGCGGTTGTTCATTGACAGTTCGAATTGGGTAGTTTCCTAGGTCAAAAATAAATTAATTCGACGTTTCAATTCAATAAAATCAATCGGTCATTACACTAAGTTTTAAATTTTTTTTAGCTAATTATTAAGAAATAAGTACTTAAGCTACTTGAGGCAAAAATGTTTTGACATCATAACTCAGATTTTCATGCAAATTTCATAGAAAAGTACCGTTTTGACGTTTGGATAATGTAGTAGTATTGAATTTGACTAGTTGGAAACTACCGTATTGTTGTATTAGGTGACTTGTCTGTTTCTTTACCACTCTACATATACATACTATAAAGATATAATACTAAACATACAATAATGTTGTATAACCGTCATTTTAATTGTGCAAAACATTATATTAACAAGACTCACTTGAATTTGATAAATCAAGGGCGAGGCCTATCAATTGACAAGTGGATTGATTAGACGGCAAATTGATTATAGATTGACAATTGACTGTTGGAGACAATTCATCTAATATTACTTACTTAATTGATATTAATATTAGCTGGGTAAAAAGGTTTCGCACTTACGGTGTCAGTTAATTAGTTACCGAGTTTAAAAATGTAGCGTGACTAGTAATTAGAACTTAAAATGAAACTTTTTTCGATAATAGTAAGTTATATTAATAAAAAATAAACTAATAAGCGACTGCACGGTTGGCGCGGTGGCTGGGCAACTGGCTGCCGCGCAACGGGTCGCGGGTTCGATTCCCGCACGGGACAACTCTTTGTGTGATCGACAAATTGTTGTTCCGGGTCTGGGTGTCATGTGTATGTGAAATTGTATGTTTGTAACCGCACCCACAATACAGGAGAAAATCCTAGTGTAGGACAACGTATTTTTAAAAAACGAAAAAAACGACAAAAAAAGTATAAAAAACTTTCTTTGGGAAAGTTTTTGTTGTCAAGAGTGCAATCACGTATTTAAATATCGATCACTAATTACCATTTACCCTATAAAATCGAAATGTTCCAAAACGTTTGAATTGACATCGTCCTTTTAATATTATAAACGCTACACTAATGAAGTATGGATTGATATTTGTTACCCTTTTACGTAAAAACTGCTCAATGGATTTTCATGAAACTTTTCTCAGAAAAAGATCATAGTTCTTATGTTATTACATGTAAGCTATATTTTCATCAATGTAATGTGAGCGACTCCGCTGCTAGAAGCTTGTTACTATATATTCTATTATTTTTAAATTATTTAGGTTATAGCTATAACCTAAATAATTTACTACTGCTACACGAAGTTGTTACAAGTGAAATCTATATAAAACTGGATTTATAAATATGATATTGTCAAATCGAATTACTTTTAAACGCAAAAGATTAGATAATACTAGGGTAAAAAGCAACCCAAAACAATTTTTATTGAGATGGTTCTTACTCTCTAAATTAGTATTTTTTAATAATTTAACGTTTTATTTTTAATAGGCTTTGATTTTAAGAAACAATAATTATTTTAATACGTATATAAAATAAACCATGTCCAACACTAAAATATTAATAAATCCTATCAAATTATAAATCCGTTGTTTTTACAAATGTCCATGGGTGGTGCCGATTGGTAACCATAAGGTAAATAGGTAGGTCTGTGAAAAGTGTACTGTACCTACTGTATAAAATAAAGATTTAAAACTAACCTCATGCTTAAACAGCATATTATTGACCCAGCAGTCTCCATGACAAAAAACATTCGTTTTACTTGGTTTCACATACATTTGTAGAAGTTGTAAAAGTTTACTTTTCACAGTCTCCAATTTTTCCCTTGCATCTTCATCGGTCACAAGTTTGAGAGACATTTCGAATGACTCAAAGAAATAGTCTCTCAATTTCGTTTTATTCAGAAAATGATTCTGATATAATAGATCGTGGAACTCGGTATTGATTTCCTTGAATACCACTGGGTCTTTAAATTGAAATACAAACGATAAAGTGTGGAATTTTGCCAATTCTGCGAATACTGTACTTATTTCTTTGATTCCAAGATTTTCATATTTCGCCAATTTTCCATCAACGTCGTATCCTTTTGTTGTTAAATCTTCCAAAATAATTATTTCCCTTGAGTTTTCTGTGTTTGAATGTAAACATTCTGTGAGTTCCAATCTTTCATGTTCGTATAAAACATTCTGTATATCTTTAAACTTGCTTATGACTTTGTTGTAAGCTAGAACTTCTCTTTCGTGTAACTTGTGGTACAATACTTGCCTTTCTGTGTTCACTAAAGTTTTTATTATAACACTGTAATTATGTTCTTTACTATCTCTTTCACTGATTTCGACACGAAACACGTTTGCTATGTAATTAGCTCGTTTCCCACTTATACAATCAACGTTGTATTCAAAATCTTGTATGCCTTTAGCGAGTGCTATAGTTTCTAAGGAATTGTGAAGTTCAATAGAGTTGAAGTCATCTGGTTCGTCAAGATGAACGTCTAGCGACATATCTACGCTGTTGCTTGGTTCCAATATCACTGAATGTTCATTGTGTATTAATCATGCGATAAATACAGTATCTTCTGATAAGCTGATATCTATCAACAAGTAAATAATTCTTGAGATAACGTTCTGCGGTACATTTAGTATATTTTTATATAGATATCAATGTTTGTATGTTACGTGCGTAATCTGGAACGAGGAAAACGATTTGCGATCTGCTACCTATTTTCTTTTTAGTAAACAATAATGCTACCAATTCAATTCGTAAAAACTGTGATTTTTGTGATGAAATGATCTTTTTGTTTTTCTGTATGGATCCTTTTTCCCTTACCTTGCTGAGATCTGTGTTCCCCAAAAGGGTGATCTGTGTTCCCTGGACTTACTAAAGGACTATAGTCTGTGGTCACTGTCACATCATCAATTTCATAATGAATAAATAAAACTTAATAATTCTTACTTTTACTTTTAACGCAAATGGCTGTCCGTATTCTTGCGGTGACTTGATTCAAAGTAGACATGATTAAAATGAATTATGGCAATTACCATTTAATTTTGAGAAAATACATAACGTGCGAACTTACCCCCACAACGGAAATTCTGGTCATCGTTCGTGCCGGGAACCAAATAAGTTTAATTTCGCTGTCACATTTATTCCAGACTTAAACTCATTTTTAAATTGAAGAAACGTTGATATCCTACGTACACAAAAGCTTGATGGTCTATGTGCGAATGCACATATATTATTTTTATTTTTTTATGAACAAAATTTGTACAATGGCGGCCTGAAGACCTCAAGCATTTTCATACAGTCTACCTTAGGGTGATACAGCTTCGCGGGTCTGCAGACGGCGACTAAGGGTAGCTCGCCGCCCGACCAGAACCAGACCCGAGCGTACGGCGCGTAGCGTTCCGCGCGCGCCTCAAAGAGCCAATAGACCACCACAGACGGGGCCCTATAGGCCTGATGTTTAGCCGGGGTTGCGAGTTAAGCGCACAATGAGTCACCGCAGCCTCGACCCAGAGCAGGAGAAGGAACGGGGAGGTTTTTAGTCAGTAAGAGTCTGACACTCTCTCTCGCCTTACCCTGGGCGGGAGGACAAAAAAAGGGTGATACAGCTTCTGGTAGAACTCAGCAAAAAAAAAGGATATTGCAACCTCTTTTTACTTCGGCTAGAGCCATGTCTCGATACGAATGGGCCAACTCGTTCGAAGTGATGCCTACCACGATATCCCAAAAAACAGTGCGGAACAACGCCTGCTTTGCACGAATGGGTTGGTTCGACCGGAGTGATACCACTTTCTCACAGAAAACCGGCGTGAAACAACCACAGCGTTGTGTTTGGCCGTGTGAGTGAGGTTACTGGAGGCCCAATCCTTCCCCTCCCCCAATCCCTAAATCTTCAAATCCCTGAAAAGTCAGCAAAGCACTCGTAACTCCTCCATTGCGGGTGATGGCAACGGGCGGCGCTGATTGCTTACCATCAGGTAATCCGTCTGCTCGATTGCCGACCAATTACATAAAAAAAATGTTGCGTCTGAGTGAGTCCTACTAATCTCCCGCTTATTCCTTATCCCAATCTCCAAATTTCAAAAATTTAAAATCCCAAGAAACCCACAGAAGTTTAAGTCATCTGGTGTTGCGGATATGGATACCCGCAATACCAATTGACTTAAGGCTCGCCGATCGCTTACCATCAGTCGTCGGTTGCCATCAACAATCGGACTTTTACATTAATTAATGAACTTATGTTTGTCAACAGCAGGCTGCTGACCTTCGGAACATCAAGTAATATAAGGGTGGCGCCAGGATCTCCAGGAAAGTCGTACTCATGGAAGGAAAAGGGTTACACGAGCTGCAGTGCATCTTGTCTCAGTGGAGTACAGGTATAACATAAAATCAGTTACTTTAATATGAAAATGGTATATCACAATATCTTTTAGCTGGGGTTGCGGGTTAAACGCAATGATATTCTGACACTTCTTTTTACCCCGCTTTGGGCAAGAGAAGGACCTTAGGTGATATTTACTCCTCCATCAACAAAAATTAATACAAATCTCCCCATTGATGGTGACCCAGCTTTTTGGCTGCTTCCTATATAAAAGTATGGTTTATTTTTATTTGAGAACCAATTACAGCCCGCTTACAATAACTGTAGTTGGTTTTCCCTAATTTGTAAAAGGTGATGCAACGCAAGAGGCAAGATAATGTAAGAACTACATTAATATATTGAAAACTAGCTACTCTCACGCGGTTTCACCCGCTGCTCGGCTGCATTTAATTGTAGCGTGATGTTTTATAGCCTATAGCAATTAGGAACATTGTAGCTATCTATCAGTGAAAGAATTTTGGCAATCCGACCAGCGGTTCCAAAGATTAACCCCTACATACAAACTTACAAATTTTACCTCTTTATAATATATGTACAGATACAAAAGTTAGGTGTATTAAAAGAGAAAACCTCTACTAGTTTCAAATCACATCGGAGCAGCGAGCTCGTCGCGGCAACGTCACCTAGCCGACTTAACATTAGTAATCCTTTTTAACCTCAGTTAATTCACGTGACTACATCGTTATTTTCAATAAATTTAGTGTGTCTATTGATAGTAGATAGATTCCTAACCTAACCTAGCTTCACTGACGAACAGACTGACAGTCTACTATTCTATTTTCACGTTTGAAAAGTATCTATTTATGGTTTAGTTGAAATGATTTCGACTTTATTACTATTTTCTTTTTTCAAAGGAACTCATAATCCAATGCGTGAGAGATGAAGATGGTAAGAATGCGTCTCCATACATGTGCGACCCTTTGACGAAGCCAGAGAACAGGGTTCGGACTTGCAATGACCACCCATGTCCACCCAGGTAAGTAACAATAAAAAATATTTAAACAATCAGCCTGCGTCCTCCCGCAGCTTAGCCAGCGTGGAATGTTGATAATAAGTCGCCTCAGTAGTACGGTATCACATATATTCATACCAAATTTCAACCAAGTCTGTCCAACCGTTTTGGCGTGAAAGAATAATAAACATACATCCATAAGTTCTCACGCATTTTCACGAAGTCAGAAAATAAATGTTTTAAAATCTTCAATTCCAATTATTATAAAACTTCTACTACAAATTATATACTCAATTTTGGATTTCTTCAGAAATAACTATGTTGTTCATTTGATGTAAAAACACTATGACGTCATGTGTTCCAATCTTGCAAAAACTACATAAAAAAATCTAACATTTTTAACATAAATAAATTTTCAGTGTTCAAAACCTGTCTAGTTTCATTATGACTTATTAGTACTTTCTTAATAACAATTTGTGGATCAGGAAACGAATCGAATCCGCATCACGTTGCGCGGAAACCAATTGCCCAGCCACTGCACCAACCTTGCAATCTGTTACTATCCATTTATTAAATTTATACCTATATAATGAAGCTCTTGAATCACCATAAAATAGATAAATAAATAACTACTAAACACGCAATCCTCTCAAATTACTCTAAGCATCAGATAACATACAATACGCACTAGAAGCCAGTAGAAGCTAGTAGCACAATATCTAACCCGTCAACGCCGACACGGGTACAAAGTGACTCAAAGCGACGCAACCTGAGTATAGTCCACGTACTAATCCGCTATGTCCTTTGTTCTAGGTGGAACTACACTGAGTTCTCACAATGCACCAAGTCGTGTGGCATCGGTATTCAGACGAGAGAGGTCACTTGTATACATGAGGTGAGTTCTATTACGTTTGTCACTGTATTTGTGTGAAATAATATATAGAATCTAAACTTAAATTATTTATTTTATAAATAAAACATTGCCTCACTTAAGGATTTTGTCCTACGTCGTGGGTGCGTTTATAAACATTCAGTTTCACATACACATCACACCCAGATTCGGAACAACAATTTGTGGATGACACTAAGTCAAAGTGTTCCGTGCAGGAATTAAACCCAACAAGCGACACTTTAATAAAATAAATAAATACAATCATTTTATATCAGACGTTAGTCCATAATATTACTTTATGCAACTTTCTGGTTGGCTATGCTCGGCATTGACGAAATAGCCTATTTTGCGTTTGTCGTCTTCAGCCGACAATGGCGGTAATAATCTAAAAACAAACATTCATACTTTTATGAAATGTTTGTTTTGTTTACAAATGGATTTTTTTTTATTTGTTTGTTTCTTACTTTCTTTCAAAGTTTTACGCTTAAAATCACTGTCACACTCCCTCTCTCTTTTAATAATATGACTTTCTTCCTCTAACCAGGTGACTCGCGGTGGCACAAACACAGTAGTGGTACCAAACAGCATGTGTCCCCAACCGCCACCCCCGGACCGGCAGTACTGTAACGTCCTTGACTGCCCCGTCCGGTGGCACACGGGAGAGTGGTCCAAATGCTCAAAGACATGCGGTGGAGGGTTAAAACAGAGAGATGTAAGTTTTAACCAAAATTATTTTTCTTTTAAAAAACGTTGCCCCACACTAGGATTTTCTTCTGTGTCGTGGGTGCGTTTACAGATATACAAATTCACATACACATCATACCCAGGCTTAGAACAACATTCTGTGTATCACACAAAGAGTTGTTCCGTGCGGGAATCGATTGTAGAATTTGTAACGTCATCTGTCAATTGTTTTGTCGTCAATCTTGTGTAACGCCATATAAATATACAGGACTAGCTGCTGACCGCGGCTTTGTAAAAGTTAATATAGCCTGGGATTTTAAAAACAGCAGCGTAAGCGACAGCCCTACTAAAATACGCAAATCAATTATAATATGTCTATAGCACTCAAGAACATTCTAGCTATCTATCAGTGAAAGAATTTTGGAAATCCGACGAAGCAGCGGTTCCAAAAACTTACCTCTTTATAATATTTAGTATAGACAAGTAGAATTTCTACCTATAACACTCAGAAACATTGTAGCTATCTATCTATTAGTGAAAGGATTTTGGAAATCCCACCAGCGGTTCCAAAGATTATATCCTACATACAAACTTGGAAATAATATTAGTATAGATTAAAAATAATTTTATGTCTTCCAAACCCAGGTGGAGTGTAAGCAAATAATGGCGCAGTCCCACGTCGTAGAACGACCAGCTTCACTCTGCAGCTCCCCTCGTCCAGCTGCCACCAAGTCCTGCAACTCCAGGCCCTGTCTCCTGGACACTGCGTCACCAGAAATATCTCTCGCCAATTCCTCTTATATACAACACGATCCGAAGAAGAAGAAGGTAAGTTGACATCAACGATCTCTATCCCGAAAGAAGATATATTTTTTTGTTGTAGGAGTTATTTCAAGTTTTGTGCGTAGTTTTAAACATTTTAGGCATACGTGCGTAGACATAATATACTTTAGGGACAGAAAAATAAACTTTTATAGTAGCAGAATTCCCTTCGATTATTAATACAAAAATCGTGTACATCGTGTACAGCAACACTTCAATCATTCTGTCCCAAGTCATTAACAACAATTTCAAGAGCATAATCGGACATTTTATAGCGCACACTATATTCCAAAATATGTTACCGAATTATTTTTAATTTTTTGTTAATTATGTGATAGGCCCAAATGAGCAGACGAATTTCCTGATGGTGAGCAATCCGAATGCCGACCTTTTGGGTTTTGGAGATTTTTGGATTGGGGGAGGGGAAAAAAGATTGGGCCTCCGGTAGCCTCACTTACAGGACGAAACACAACACTAGGTCGATCGGTATTTTCCGGTTGAGTCGATTCAATCGAGCCGAAGCATGGCCCTCTTACAACTGGCATTATTATAACGCACTACATAATATAATATACCTCTTACTTCTGCCACAGGTGACGGTAAAGGTGGGTGGGTCGGCGACAATATTCTATGGAACTCAGGTGAAGATCAAATGTCCAGTAAAAGGGTACAATAGGACCAAAATACAATGGGCCAAGGACCATCAGATCATTAGCAAGTCGAAGAAATACAAAATATCCAGGAAGGTATGTATTTATGTGACTGTGTTTGATAAAAAAAATGTTGTTTAAATGTTTGAATATAGTTAAAAGTTTTAATAAAAACAATTAGTTATAATTTGATTAAGTGATAGTAATATATTTTGTAGTATTTTTTTCTAAGCGTTTTATTGTTACTCAGAAGTCCTATGTTTAAATGAACTACAAATTTTATGAAAATTTTACTGTAGACTACCTACTTGTATTAAGAAAGGAAGATAAATAGAATAATCCTTACATTAAATACAGCACAAACCTATCCACGAACCTATAATAAAAATTGGTCTTATTCCATCTAGGGTGCACTTCGGATCAATTCCCTTTCACTCCGTGACCATGGAGTGTACACCTGCGTAGCTGGCAGATCCAGCGCCAACCTGACGCTGCTGGTCAAGCCAAGACCTGGAGAATTTCCATCCAGTGAAGAGATTGAGAGGCACAAGGCTTTGGATGAACCATCTTCGCCGCTTTCTGATAGGTAAGGTTCCGAAGACGACGCGGTAGTAAAAAACAATGAATTTATTAGACCGTTATAATGAGGTTTTAAGTGACAAATATATTTTTATTTATTACATTGTATACCTTAAAAATTGAAGTCTCTCTCATCTTTACTGCACACAAAATTAGTCCCTAATCGATCAAAAATGAATGCAGTTTCAATACCTTTCCCATAACAACAGCAGGGCGGACGGGCGATATCGAGCTATGATTGGAGGCACCTCAGATGACCAGTCTCATGAACAGCGGCCGGGGGACTCCAGGAAGAACTATAAGAATAGGCAGAAAGGTAATCATATTTTCAGTTTAGCCAACTGACGCTCAGTGGCATTGTTTGCAAACATTATTATTTACACAAATGACCATTCATTCTATTGTAAATTGTCCGTGATGTTTGGTGACTGGGCTTCTCCTAGTTGTAAAGTCTCTTTTTGTGCTTTTAAGACTTAAGACATTCTGTCTCCTGCATTAAATTTACCGAGGGTAGTGAAACTTTTTAGTCTTCTTCACAATTATTATTTTTGAATTATTTTATTGCGGGATCCAAGACAGTCATTCACGTCCCTGGGAAGAGCCGGACTTCAGTGTTTCGGTGCTTTCATGGTTGTATACACTGTAGTGGCTAGCTTTTGTTTCGGAAGGACGTCCAACTACCTCGCTAATGACAAAATGATCACTATAACTATCCTAATATACCTCTATATTTAAAAAAAAATACATAAACATTTCGTAACAATAACATTAATAACAAAAAAAATTACTTGGCAAAATTGGTCCTATCATTGTTGAGTAATGCGCTTTCCAACATATTCTGTAATTGAACATTTAGTTACAACACAAAAAACATTCTGCACTTTATACGTGAAATAGTAAAAACCGATCCATCAATACTAACAAACTTTCTCTCTGATAATAAATATTATTAGGTTACGCAAATGTTTGTCAAAAGCATTACAGCAATTGCTAATAAAAGCACCAAACTAAAAAAACCTCTAAGTAATTCAGGAATAACGTTATATTTTCCGCCAAAACACTGCAGAAATTAAGATAAATTACAAATATTGCAGCAAATTAATGAAGATCCGACTGTTGGTAGACGAGTGCCCCGCAAACACTAGATAAATTTTGAAATTTAGGTCTTAATTTTCTCGTCGGTACATTTAGAATATACGAAGCTTCTACGTTATAAAATTGTTAACCTATTTCTTAGTTTGCAAAACGTTATTTTGGTATAAAACGTTTTTATTTTGCTCCTAATTTTGTAAATTTTTCGATGGATAATGTATTCGTTTACCTGTACTTACTTTCTGTGCACCATGAGATGTGTAACGGTGATAAGGTTATTGAACTTTATGAAAATATGGGCTTACTCATTTAATTTAACTCGTTTTTTTATGAAATTTATCATATGTAAGAGTCCCATAACTTAAAACTAATATTACAAGGTATTTTCAGTTAGATTCCATAAGTTAGTCATTACTTCCAATAAATTCCAAATTTCATGAAGCATCCAAAACTTTCACTAGCACTAAATCAATGAGTTTATTTTTTATAAATAGGCCATGAAGCCGCACTTTTGCATGTCGAAATTTTGCACAAAAAAGTTACGAGTGGACTGGCATTTCTATCTTAATAATTTGAGAAATTCCGAATCAAACTTATTAATCAGGCTCTTTTAAAGTCCACACAAATGTGAAAAAATATGTGTGCAAGTTCATTCTATAGTCGTTTTTTGAGGAAAAAACCACACCAGTTTTCGTAGACTGTTTCTTTCTGATAGATACGGATACAAATGTGTACATAACATAATAACGGTAGACAGTTCACAAACAGAAAGAGATAGCTGTAACTGTGAAACGGACGAATCAATAGATGGAAGATAGATTATACGTTTCAAATGATAATTAAATTCTGTTCAATAGGAAAAATAGACAAAGTGCGGGATGCTCTGTACGGGAACACAGCAACTACAAGCACCAAAGCATCACCCAGCTTCAATTCACAAGAGCGAGAGAGAGACTTGTATGATGAACATGAGGTAAGAACAATTTAAACGTACTTAAAATCTAGAAAATAAATGTTATATTATATAATACATGTAATAATGTGTTGATAAATTGTCTGGAATCTTTATTATATGGCAAATGCTTAGTTAGAGATACAACTTGAATTGGACGCATTATACTTTCTGCTTAACAAAAGGCTTCGTTTTAAATTTGCCACGACATTTTAATAAATACTCATTTCAATAAACTTTTAAACTCTTTTTAAGAAAATGTAGCAACTAATAATTTTGAGCTTCAAAAACAGTGATGAGGACATTGCCATCATAGAGAGAGAAGTCTATATTGAATGAAAAAACTCGATTAAAAACACCGTATTGGCATTTTTCTCTGTGCTCCAAAATTATAAAGAGATCTTCCTTCCATCAAGTTAATACCAACCCTATCTAGAAACACCCTTAAATCTCTATATTATATATCTCTAATTTATAATTACAAGCTGATAATCTAAAGCTTATACTCAGAAGGATAATGTCAGTAATAAAATTTACAACCGATTTTATGTCGGCCATAAAATTGCTTGATGATGTTGTTGCAGAATGACTCACTTATCGTTTGCATAAATTTGTCATAATCATGTTTTATAGCTTTTGTATAAAGCACTTTGTTACCAGCGCCATTAGGTTTAGTATTAGTAGTCTGAAACTGGTACGTTAGGATGGTATTATTTTGTCAATCATCATTTTAATGGTTCTTAGTCGTTTTGTTCAAGAATAAGCTTTAGATGGGAAGATATCGTTGTATCTCGTTTAGAAGCGAAAACAATTCTGTTAGACTCTTATATAATTTTGTGAATTTCGCTACAAAAATATTTTACTATTCTTACCAATTTGTTGCATAGACACGAACAGGAGAAGCATTCTCAATTTTCTTCAAACGAAAAGATCCGCAAAAATCGTATTGTCTTAAACTAGAACACATCTGAACCCAATTTGCTATATTTCTTTCCAATGTCCAAAAAAATTATAATCATGGGCATAGCCATAAGAAAACAAAACCACCAAAAATAAGTTGTAAAGGCTGGACTATAGAACTCCTTTGCAAAGGAAGGTTATCTCTTTAGAAGTTAAAGATCGCAGTTTAGAAAAATGAAAAAAAACCCCATAAGCAAGACACAGTCATCAATAACCTAGCTTCATTTTGACATTTCAAAAGTACCTATAGTTGGAATAAATGAATTTGACTTTGACTTTGACCTCGAAGAAAATTTTGCCACTAAACCAAGACAATCTATCAACAAAATACATAAGCTTTAACCTAACAAAACTTGCTCGCACGCCGCTTGGACTATGTATTGAAGAAGAGTGCCGTCTCCTCGCAGATGCTTCCACCCAAACGGAGCAGTGCATCTAGGGTACTTCCCTGCCTGCATTACATTATTATGCAACTCCAGGTGAGAAGTTCCCAGTACAGAGGGTAGATCGGACTTGGGAAGCATGAGTTGCATGTTGGTTGATTTTATATCCGGTTTTTTTCTGGTGATTTGAGTTTCTTTCTTTTTGTTTAACGTAGTATTTAGCGACGAAACCAACTTGAGGATTAAGGGTGATATTAAACTCGGTGGCTGCTAGAAGAGTTAGAGGATTAAGAGAAGCCATTAGCAACCAAATGCTCTTTTGTATCTTTATTACATTTTATCGTTAGTATTGGATCAAGTGTTGGAGAGCCATGCTTCGACACGAACGGGTCAGCTCGACCGGAGTGATACCACGGCTTCACAGAAACCGGCGTGAAACAATCACAGAGTTGTGTTTCGCCGTGTGGTTTGCGAAGCCTTTCCAATCCTTAAATCCTTCAATATTCGAAACATTATCGAATTTATCACCAAAAGGCTGGCAATGCACTTATAACTCCTTTGGTATTGCGGTTGTCCATGGACGGTGTCGATTGCTTGCCATCAAGTAATCCGCCTGCTCGTTTGCCGATCAATCTCATAAAAAAAGTATTTTTCTGAATGTAATGTAAATGTTTGCAAATAATTTGGTTGAATGCGACTCTAGCAAATCGATATTTGCACAAGTCGCACTTCTAACTTAACCTAACTTAACATTCTGGCAGCTATTCGGCCTTAATAACAATCTGTTCACTTCGACTTCACATTTAATAATACAATCAGCCATGCAATTAAAATAATGAGATAAGGGGTTTTTGGTTGCAAATAACTTTTCTTGAAACCTTTCAAAGCATTTGACGGATTGCCTGGTCAACAGATAACGAAGATTTTTGAATTATTGAGGAATTAATATTTCATCATTTATAACGCTTTTTGATAATATCGTTAACTTAGTGGTGATTGCGAACGTTGATTTTTTTGTTTTTTTTTTAAATAGTTGTTTTAAGCAATTTATACAATTCGATCACTATCGTTTTTTTATTATTTTGTTTGAATGCTTAGCATATTTTTCCTTATAAACACTAATACTATCACATATTTCATAGATTCAGCATTTACATAAAACGACAATTTTATAAATGTCACCATAGTTACTTTTTTCGTCTAATTTTTAACTAGGCAGTTAAGGACACGTATAATTGATATGTTCAGATGTTTTGGAATTTCCAGGGCCTTGGAAACTCCAGGGGTCAAAGGACAGTTGACTCCATCATAATGTACCAGAACTATGGAGTTCCGACGAAGTCACATTTCTTCAACTTGGAAGACAAACAGATGGTCTTCCCAGAAGACGATGATTCTGACATTATCATAGTTAATGAAGATTATAATAGAAATGTTCTAAGAGACGTTCCTGTTGAGAATCTTAAGGATTCTGAAGAAACTACTACAGAACACAGGTAGGAATAAGTTGTTCTTATCATACAAATAATGGATAAGCCATGCTTTGATATGATAAAGAAGTCTGACCAAATAAATACCACGACATCACAGAAACCCGGTGTGATATTACACATGTATTGTGTTGTTTTGCCTAGTGTCTGTGGTTACAGAAGGCAAAATCTTTCCACCTTTCCCAAAATTCCTATCAACCCCCAAAAGGTCAACAGCGCACTTGCAACTCTTTTGGCTTTGGATCGCTTACCATCAGGTGATGCTCGTTTGCTGTGCTACCCAAAAAGAACAAGATAAACCCGACTAACCAACATTATTGTTTGAAAACATGTCGGTTTTCATAGCATTCTACAATTTGATGTATTATTAAAGCCTAGTCTTATTTCAATGAAATACTAATTGGCAGACATTCCGATATGAACGTTGACGTTCTCAGAAGAATGATGTAAACTTATTTCAGAATTTGAGTTTCAATTGCTATGAATCTCGATATTAATTTTAGGAAGCACCTTATCGCGGATTCGCTTCCTACATGGAACAAGTCTTTGTGTGGTATTATGAACTCACTTACGGTACAGAACAACGCCCTATAGCAGAGCAGTGCGAAAAAAACTATATGAATCTCCTAAAAAACCCGTCAAAAAAAATAATAAGGCCCAATCTTACCCATCACGCCCCACTCCCTAAAAGCCCAAAATTCCCAAAAGACTGGCAACGAATTTCTCTTTAATTGTTGGGTATCCATCGTAGGTGCTGAATGCTTGCCGTCAGGTAATCCGGACGTAATCAGAAACCCGTCTGAAAAAAAAAAACTAAAACAAAAAGATATTTTTGAAAGTATTCAAACTGACACATACTTGTTATTTTCGATTTGTTCATTGGCATTGGATCATCAAGCAAGTAGATAGATAATCTTACATGATGATGTAATTTTCTTCCCTAGGTTGGAAGCTCCAGACGCTCACGAGTACGTCTGGATGACGACAGACTGGTCTCCATGCAGTGCCCTCTGTAGCCAGACCGGCCACCAGATCAGAGGAGCAGTTTGTCAGGTTTGTGTCACATTTATGGACTTATTACCTACCTAACCTATGATTGATGACGATTTGATTTAGCATAAATTTTTACTCGTTTATAAACGGTTACTCGTTTTAATAGAGTGATTTTTTTAATCTAACTGGATTTTTTATCTAAAAAGATATTTCCTCTGTCATTCTATTGTTTTTGATGTTTTGAAATATTATGGTACTTGAAAACATATCGAGTACCTAAACAACAACAATGAATCGATTATTTTGACAATTAATGAGGGACTATGGTCCATCATTGCAAAGATTTTGATATGACTTCATCACTAAATCCCATTAACTTTTTAAACTCATTATTATATTTAGCCAATCAAATTAAAGCAGATAACAACTATTCTCGAATCCCAAAACAGCACAAGAAAGACAACAGCACAACTACAGTGGAGACAGAAGAATGTCTATCACGGGGTGGCACGCCACCAACTGTGGTTAGGGAGTGCATTGGGGAGACGTGTGCAGAATGGAGGACTGCGCCCTGGTCCGCGCCCAAGTGTCTAAGCAGCGGAGCTGGTAAGATGTCTATTCGTTCACTATATTTGAGGTATAGTAATATAGCTAAGAATAAAGAACACCATCAAAAGACCAGGGAAGACTTACTAAAAGACGGCTTGATTGGGATTAGAAAAAAAGTTTTTTTTTAATTTATTAAACAATAGACTACTAAATAGCACTAAATGTACTTATTTGAAAATAATTAAAGAGAGTATCTCTTTATAGCTAATAAAGAGAAACTCTCTTTTATAGCTAACTATTCTCGAAATTCATCTCTCATAAAATGGCAATAAATGTACAAATATGCATGAATTTGCAAACTGATTTGCCTATTTTTATATATTTTATAAGTACACTTATTTGCCTATTTATTAAAATAAATAGGCAAATAAGTGTACTTATAAATCTTTAAAATAACTTCAGTGTAATGCTCTGATTAAAAAATGTTTCAGCAATTTCGAAGTTAAACCTGTTTTTAGGTATAAAATACCTAATCAGAGCATATGCCTATCCAGGTAAAACCTTTTTTGTGTTGGACAGCAACACAAAAAAAGGTTTTACCTGAGATTTATTTAAAAACTTACACACGTGACACTGAAACCCAAGGCACGTGCCTTGTTTCCTTAAGGTATAATTTCCTCCACAGAATTTGGTGATAATTCAAAACAATTTATTTTCATACTGAATAACGTTGTCTGAAAAAACATTAGCTAAGTGTGCTCAGCCTAGGTTGCAGGTCTTAACACGACAAGGGCAGGAGATACCATTTTATGTTTTTTCCCCTAAACAAAAAACCATACAACTTGAGAATCAATGCAATAGCTGAGTATTTCTGAAAGTTAAATAATTCTTAACTATTCTGATGATAATAACCCAGTTGACTAAAAGCTAGCAATAGAAATGAAATCTAAGATTCGAACACACTTTACCAAAAATCTGGCAATAAATATGAAATTTAATTAATCTATGGTGTCCCAATTTTAAAATTTCTATGACTTCTTGCTAATACCGATTCTCTTTTCCGCTAGCCATTATTCGGCGTCGCGTGGAATGCGTAGCGGTGAATGGCAGTACTCTGCAAGAGAGTGCTTGTGACTCCGTCAGTAGACCAGAGAAGATCAGGAGGGACACCAGCCTTTGTAAGGCCACCTGGGCTGTTGGGCCTTGGAGCAAGGTGAGAAAAACAAAAAGACCGTATTCTCTTCTATCTATTGTCCACATAATTCTTCTTTTGTCAGTATTATAAGGTCAAACTGATATTTTCTGACACTTTCCATTAACTGTTCTACAAGTTCTTCCATGTTATAGGTTACAATTGGAAATCGTTTTACTAGTAGTCCAAACGAGATTGAGCTACCAATTCTTTATAAAGTTCTAGCGTTTGCCAGCGACTTTGTTCCCGTGGAATAGTAACTTCCTGCAGATTTTTGGATTAAAAACTATCCTAGGTCCTTTCTCGAGTTCCAAACAATGTTTGTACCAAGTTTCACACAAATAGGTTCAGTAGTTTAGACGTGAAGAAAAGACAGACAGACAGGGTTACTTCCACATTTACAATATTAAGTTAGATTACATGTACCTATTAGCTTTGTCTTTCGCCGCGTGATTGAGGTTATCGGAGGCCCAATTCCTCCCCTCTCCCGATTGTTTCCCAATCCTTAAATATCCGAAACCCTTATCACCAATAGGCCGGCAACGCACTTGTAACTCCTTTGGTGTTAATTTATAGAATCAGGCGTTACTTTGCGGAAATCCATGACATTAAATGTTAGGGAAAATATTTAGTGTTGTTGGATTCCATCAGCGGCGCTGATGGCTTACCATCAGGAAAAACGTATACTCGTTTGCAGACCTATTTCACAAAAAATGATAACGCATCGTTTGTTGGACTGTTTCTCAGTATTTTTTTGTCCCATCTAGTTCATAGCGTATGTTCACTTGGAAGAGGTTTCATGACAGCGCAAAAGTTTTTTTTAATCTGACAAATCGTTTCTGAGAAAACTGTAAAATGACGACATAGGTGGTGTGTTAGCTAAGGCACGAAATTTGAAAAACTAATATATTTTTTTACTTGCCTAGGATTCTTGATATATCCATGATAAATTAATAAAGGATTAAACAAATGAATGAATCACACAATTCAATCCAAATTGAAATATTCATCCCTAATCATTAGATATAACCAAATAGTAAAATTATTAAGACATCCTTAAATCAAATTCCGTCTACGATACTTTAGTGCTCTAGTATTTAATACTTACATAAAATTTAGCAATAACACCGTTTTACGCGTTCATTTTATGAAGCCCTATCGAATTAGTATTTTCGAGAAACACATACTAGTAAAATGAATTGCCTTATTTGTGGCTGACGGGGTCGATAACATTTTAAGAGTGGGAGAGCCATGCTTTGGCACGAATGGGTGGGCTCGACCGTAGTGATACCACGGCCTCACAGTAAACTGGCGTGAATGAGATTACCGGAGGTCCAACCCTTCCCCTCCCCCAATCCTAAATTCTAAAAATCCTAATAAGGTCGGCACTCGTAACTCCTCCGTTAAAAATTCTATTCTATTCTGACTGCACGATTGGCGCGGTGGCTGGGCAACTAGCTGGCGCGCAACGTGTCGCAAATTAAATTCCAGCACGGAACAACTCTTAGTGTGATCCACAAATTGTTGTTCCTGGGTGTGGTGTTTATGTGAAATTGTATGTTTGTAATCGCACCCACGACACGCAAGAAAATCCTAGTGTGGGGCAAAAAACAAAAATTCTAACCTACAAAATGTTCCTCAGTGTGTGGGCACATGTTCCTCCGTGGGCAGACAGCATCGCGCGTTGCGCTGTGTGTGGCGAGCTGTGGGCTCCCGTCGACGGGGGAAAGAGAGGAGCGCCGCCGCCGCGTGCGAGGGATTACCCCGACCGGGGGTTACTAGGCCTTGCCAAGTACATGCCTGTGTTAATAAAGGTATACTTTTATAATTACAATCATAAATATGTTACCATTTTTTTTTATTAAATAGAATTGTCTTATGAATATCGTCCTTAAACTTATTTTCTTTTTGCGTTACTTTGAATAAAAAATAATCTAAATGTGAAATTGATTGAAAAAGAGTAACCATGAAGTTTCTTATTCTTCTCAATTGGAATCTACACTTTAGAAGGAGCGAATAGCTTCACTACAAGACTGACCGACAGCCTGACACTTTTTTATGTTTAAGCTTTGTTTGACGTTTAAAAGTGTCTGTAAGCTTAACTTTTGATCAATTATAAACGTCAACGACAACTCCAGTAGACTGTTAAATACTGCCAGATGCGGCAATATACAAGAAAATAACGTTTATAACATGATTCAAAAGGTTCATATTAAAACTAAACATTTGATAACTTACGTACTAAGAAGAAATTAGTGTTAATCTGTCACTGGCTTACACTACACGTGTCACTAACAAAACATTGTATCCACAGATGGCATATGTCGGGACAGTTCCCGGTTCTGCGAAAACGTACGAGCGATGAACATGTGTGCCCTCAAACGGTACAGACAGCAATGCTGCAAAACATGCTCCGATTGAGCGCGTGATTGCAGTTTAGAACACAATCATTTGAATATTTGAATTTGAAGGTCTTCGATTCTGAATGGCGGTTGCAATTTCGAATTTCAAAGGCGGATATAGATTAAAAATGTCGTTGCGAGTTTTTCTATGGATTTTGCAGATGAAATTTGAATCTGTTCGGATCAATCTCTTTTTACTTTGCTGCAGCAGCAAATAGGTGTTTGTAGTTCAAATAATTCTTTAAAGAGGTTTATATTTTTACGTTCATGAATAGGACCTTTTTATCGTTAGTAAGCGTCACTGGCAATTACGACGTGACTAAGCATATTTTGGACTTGACAAAAGAAAAAAAAACAAAAACACAAACAAATTAAAAAAAACGTTTTCTTTTTAAAATTTGAAATAAACAACGGGTCTGCTATTTATCTGCTTATCTTACTTCAGAACTGTTATATTTTTAGTATGGCAATCAACAGTACTAGAATATTCATTATAAACCTATTGACATGCCCCTATTCTACACAAGCGCCATCTATCAATCGAAAAACCAGGCGAGGTATCCTTTATTCCATAATTATGTAATAGTTGTACCTTACTTGATGGAAACTACTCAAATATGCACTACACGCCAAAATACCCCTATTTTCATGACACCCCTATTCAAAATTTAAAGCTATATAGTAAAATGACTGATTCGACCGAGCGAACGTTATCGTTTGGAATATGTGGGCACATCCATACCTACCATATATTTTATGTATACATCGATGTAACAGTCTGCTTAGTCGAGTAGCAATATCCAAAAGCTTGACATCTTTTTTTAAATAATTAAGTGACTTGTTGTTCTCGTTCAGGCAAGAGAGAGTGTCAGACTCTTACTGACTAAAAACTTCCCTTCCTTCTCCTGTTTTAGGCCGAGGTCACGGAACTTTATTGAGATGGCCCCGCAATCCGGTAGAACACTAAGTTTGACACCGTAAACAAAAATATTTAGCATTTTCGCTTTTCAAAAAGTTAAAGCAACATCGTTCCTAACCATACCTTTATTCTCAACTTAGTTATGAGTAAAGAATAAAAGGGCCGCAAATACTACGGAATTTTACTTTCAATTTATATACTGCCTAATCTACGGAAATAAACGCGCCACTTATTACATTGTGACTCATAAGTGACATAAGTGGTCATAAGTGACATAAGTAGCTATTACGTTTCGTAATTTGCACTCCCTCTTACTACCTATTTTGGCGAATAAATCATTTATGAACGATAGTATGATAGGCACGTGGAATGTATTTATGTAAAACAACCCACTAAAATATACACACACGTACATAGGAAGTATATAAATACACACATAATATATACAGTGGCTATATATGTACATATATCGGTCGATTTCGGTGCGAGAGTGAATGGGAACTTTATATCATTAATTATTAAAGTTGATATTAACTACCTGACAGTTACACACACATGCGAAAACGAGGCTCATAGTACGAGTCTAAATAACCCGGTTTGTTTTCTTTAGTAAGGAGAAGTTTTAGAGTCACAGATCACTTAACGTCTATCTAATAAGCAAATAAGTGTGAGACAGTCATGCTTTGATATAAATAGGCTGGACTAAATTGATACCACGGCCTGTCAAAAAACTGACATGAAACGACGCTCGCCTTAAGTTTTGCTGTATAAGTGAGGTTATAGGAGGCCCAATCCTTTCCTTCCTTCCTCATACCTTAAAGACCCTAACTTCAAAAGGCTGAACTGTACTAGTAACTCTTTTAATATTGCGTGTGTCCATGGCCGGCGCCATTTGCTTACCATCAGGTACCTAATCCGTCAGCTCCTTTGTCGACTTTTCTCACCAATAAAACAACCTTACGGTAACGCTAAGAAAGGGCGCATATTTATATACTTACACTATATTTTAACGGTTATTAAAAAATGAATCATAATACCTATTACAAGCCTTTTGGGCACACGATTAAATCAAGGTAACCTAATCTATCCCTAAGAAATCTAAACCATCCCTTATTCAACAAACGGTCATGTAATCTCTGAACCAAAGAGGCAATCAACCAATAAAAAAACAAAACAAGAATAAGTTGAACTGACTATTACCATTAAATCCATTTAAAAAAAACGAAAAATTAAAAATATAGCCTGAACGTTCCAATTTTAAAACGAATTGAAAAAAAGGCGCCACGTTTATATTTTGTGTGCAAATTCATAAAACTCAAACGAAAAAAAAATACATCTTACAAATTGAAATTCGAATGAATGAATGTACGAACGAACGAATCAAATCCGTCTCCGCCATTCAGAATTGAACGACCGCTTTCTAGTGAAATTCAAGATGAACTTTTTAAAGGTTATGAACAGTTAAGTTGTGGAGTGACGAAAGAAAATTTGAATTAGTTTATACGAGTAATATCAGAATGATTATTATGTAATTCTATCTTGAAATAAAAATAAATCAAAGAGAATGCAAATGGTTTTAATCAAAATTACGACGAAGAATGTAATCAACACATAAATCCTACATTATGTTTAGAAATTGTAACGATATTTTTCTGTTCTGTATTCAAAGAAATTTATTAAAAACTTTAAGCTATGCTTTTGTAATGACTTTCTTCAGAAAACAATTGCTTTGGACAGGGTTAATTATTAATCATAATTTTGAGTTGATTGCATAGTGATACATAAGTATTAAATTAATAAGATGGCACAGATTTATCAATAATCAGAGTGCAAGCGTTGCGAACATTGTTTCTTGTTTATGTGCCCCTGGTACTGTTTAAAACTAATCGAGTAACTTCTTGAAACAGTGACTTTAGTAAGCTGTATAATCTAATTAAGATAATTATTGAAAAAGAAACTCTGTAGATACAAATACATATTGATTATACAAATATCAATAAAGTTGCTTTTTCAATAAAAGTAATCCAAATACCTATTTTGAAAGTAAACGCTTTTCACAAGACGCCATCTTGTATCTCAAGGTTACTTACGTCAAACTTTTTTTTTCACTAAATCTTTCTAAACTATGAGTATTTTTAACTTCGAGTCTTTTAATTAACAAACTTAATCAAGGCTGCGAATCATGATTGATACTATAACCATTATTTCTAGTTCTTGGAGCTATTGAACCATAAACGTTTTACGTTGGACCCCGCTGTTAAATTTACAAAGTGTCCCTGTCAAAATCGGCCATTTTGCGCGCAACTCAGTTCCGTTACCGTACGTTTGGGTCATAACTAAATTTTCCGCGTGACTTGTGTCAAAAGGCCCATACTCCCTTTCGCTTCAATAATCCTTTATTTTTTTTCTAAGGACCACTTGACATTTTCGTAAATTTGAAAAAAGAATTTGAGACAACTCGATCGTATTTCGTTTAGGGAGATATAAGATAGAATAAAAGCGAATGTAAGAGAAAGCTAAATTGTAAGCACGATAGTTCTAGTCGTGAAGCACAGTTGACCATAAGGTTGATATTGAATATTTATAATGAAAATGTAAATTATTTCAAAGATATAGCCCTCGAATTGATTATGTAAGTAGCAAACAAAATATTTAGAAGAAAATGTTTTGTACTATATTATTATACAAATAATGTAAATATATATTATTATTATTATGATATAATAGTTATTATTGTCATTATCGAGCACTTTACGCTACGCTTGGCTCCTATAATATATTATTATGAATAAAGCACAAAATTAATAAATTTATCGAATAAAAATTTAGTAAAAAAAAATTATATTCAGCGAGAAATGCCAAAAGAATTAAAAAAAAGATCGAAGTACAGTCGTGCTAAAAAATCAAGTGCTGATTTATTTTAATTTTTTATTTTTCTTCACTTACTTAGATAATAAAATAAATATATTATTATGTCTATAAGTAATTAAAAGTGTATGTATATTGGACATATTGAAATACTATTGTAGTAAAATAATTTCTGAATGAAAATAAAAAAAGCAATACGATTCGCTTAAAATACATTTAAAAATATGTAAATAAGTATCTATGCGGTTGCATAAAAAATTGTTATCGAGCCCTTTCGAGGATTGGGTTTTAGTAAAATTTAATATACTTAGAATCATTTTGTTATTTTATTAAAGAATAGCTTAATAAAATATGAAAATCACGAAGTAAACATTATTAGTTTAAATTCTTAATGTTTCGTATGCTCAGCCCTTTGAAAGGTACCAAATCGAGTAACTATCAATGTTTTAGTAAAGCTATGGTTCAGTATTATGTATTACGAAATATATTTAGATAAACAATTTATTGTCAATTGTTAGTGGCATTACCCAATTTGTATATAATTGATACTACATACGTATATATAGCTATGCAATCGTTGTTCCAAACTATAATGCAATGTTTACAAATGAGTTTTTATTGCGCCATTTTAAAATCAGAATATGTTCGAAAGAATGAAATTTAAATTAAGAAGCATTTCTTTTACTTATTCAAAATTTGAATGGAAATAAAATCGTTACAAAAATTAATTGTATTGTTTATTTTACTATTTACTGCTATTTGTTATTTTATTATTTTGTTTTTACTTTTGTTATTTTATTGTAATTTTTATCCTTAAATTCCTGACACACAAAAGGCTGGTACCGCTCTTGTATGTATTTCCTTTGGTGTTACAAGTGTCCCTTTCCGGAGCCGATTGCTTATCATCAGGTGAGGTGAACCTAAAAGGTCGTTTGCCGACCTATCCCGTAAAAAAAATATACGACAAAGAAGGTCCGTCGTTAAAATGAGTGAGAGAAATAAATAAAACTACTAAATGGGCAATAAAAACTCATTAGTGAATTAGGTTATATATAGGCTCACAAATTCTCTAAGACAATTAATTAGTATCCTTTGTTTAGTTTTAAGTACGCAATTTTATTCTGCGTTCTCTTAATTAAACGTTACATTTATACTATTTCTTTACACTCTAATAAATAATTTTAATTCCTTATATTTATACAAGTTCGTATTAAAATAATTCATATCAAAAAATACTGCCATTTAAAAAAAAACTTCTTGGTCTTGCTGTCCCTTTTTATGCTTACTGTACTAACTTTATTATAAATATTATCTTTGTGATGTTGGCATAAAGATTACTTTAACTGAAATAATGTTTTATTTTAAGACTAGAATCATACTGTTTCAATTACTTATGTAAAAAAAACAATTCAAGTCAGTACGTAGTGTGATAACATCTGATAAAAGAGAATTGAAAAGATGTGCAAATTAGCTCGCCAAGTAATTTGAAATAAAAAAGTAAAAAAAAAAGTTTTATTTTCAGATACACGACGAAACAAATTGTTTTTTTTTTCAGTTACAAAATTAGTAAAAAAATAAATTGTCGTCGTTTTATGACCTTCAACCAAGAATGTGTAATTCCATTTTTAAATATCAAAATGTTCGCCATTTAAAAGCAGTTGGAAACAATTTATTAAGCTACGTGTTGTCAGTCAAATGGCCTAAACACTATTCTAATCGTAGACATTCGTAATCATCATCATCATCAGCCTATAAGTGTCCACTGCTGAGCAAAGGCCTCTTCTCACACGGATAAGGTTTGAGCATTAATCATTATGCTTGCTCAAAGCGGATTTTCGGTTCCAAACTTATAATTTGAAATTAGAAGGCCAGGTTTCCTCACGATATTTTCCTTCACAATACATTTAAAAAGCAAACCTAACTCAACCGTAATAAGCCAGATATTTGACTAACAGCACGTAGCTTAATTATTTAAAATATTTAAAAATTATAATATCTCATATTCGATCGCGTAAAGTTTGAAATGATTTTTATGGCGCGAGCAAAAACGAATTCACAGCGTGATAGAAGTGCGTTATTGCCACCCCGTGCCGCGTAATATAAATCTTAGTTCACAAACTTCTTCAATCTTAAATTATTAAATAAATGTAGAAGCTTGAACTAATGTCACTAGACGTCTGGTGTAAATTTTTTCGCTTATGCGTTCGCGTAAAATTTGCTACGACTTGTATAGCGCAATCAAAATCGAACTTAAATTGCGCTGTTGCCGCTCCGTGCCGCGTAATACAAAACATCGTTAAAGCAAACTTTACGCAAACGAATTATGAAAAAATAACTCGCACTGGGAATTATGAAGGGAACTATTTGCTCTGTCAATTTGAAAAAAGGAAGGAAGGCACATTATATTTAATTTAAGTTTTGTTGAGACATTTTTTATAGTAAAAATATTATGTTTTTGCGTACTTATAAAACCTTTCTACTTAACAGTACCTCTTACAATATTTATGAACAGTATAAATTAAAAAAATAACGACTTGATTTAATTGAGACAGGCAGTCCGCAGTCGGTTGAGCGACGTCCCCACGACATGACGTGTACTACGCTTATAAATAAGAGTCCCATTCTGACTTGTAATTAGTAGAACTGTTCTTTGCGTTGTTTTCAATGAATTATCTATCTCCCACGATAGTTACTAATTATACGAAAATGAACAATGTATTTTATTTTTGTTTTTATTTTAATAAGTCTTCAGAGAATAAGTCCAAATTGTACATTGTACCAAGAATTTTCAAATAAAAAATATATTATATGATTAAGTTACTCAAACTTGTCTTTTATTTCGATCCTCTTACGCCGTAATATCTGTATGAAAAAGTATTTTATGATGAGGTGATAGTCTTTTGGCCGTAGTTTATTGTGTGCTGAGCTTTCGTCAAAGGTCACGGGTTAGATTCCCGGATCATGCAAAGATTGAATTGAGAATTTTGTTATGGACGCATAACGTAATGAGACGAAAAATTAAAAAACATTTGCGAATCTAAGTATCATTTATACGAAGATAATAGACATTATAGTATTATTTTGATGGCAAATACATATATTCCTATACCAATATTATAAAAGAGGTAAAGTTTTAAGTTTGCATGTAGAGGGTAATCTTTGGAATCGCTGGTCGGATTCTAAAATTCTTTCAATGAGAGATAACTAATGTGCCTGAGTACTATAATGTCAAAAATTACACTTGACTTGCGTATTTTAGTAGAGATGTCGCTTTAAACGCTGCTGTCCTTAACACATTCAGTGCCCCCGAAGCGTATGTGCGTTTCCTCGCACGCACATACGCGTCGGGGGCACTGAATGTGTTAAAATCCCTGGATACATTACTTTTACACGCATGAAAAACCACAGACAGAAGCTAGTCGTAAAATAAATCTCAAAGAAAATATAACACTTTCTAATAAAACTCAACATTTTTCAAACACGAACAAACGAACGAAAACAAACTCGCCTTAATCTTTAACTGAATTCTCCAAATTCAAATCATACGAGCGTCCCCTTTCGAACAAGTTCTGCAGTGTCCCCTGACGTCACGACCATAACTCCTCTGATTGGCTAGCTGTGCTGCGCGCATCGCTGCGCTAACGCTGATTGGACTAATGAATCCGGGCTGATTGCGTATTGCATAGTCATTGCATAGATAGAACAAAATGTTCACACAAAGGTTTTGGGAAATTGCACCTATTTGTTTTTGGGTATCGAGTTAAATGAGTTATCCAGTTTATTGGAAGTGGACGTTTTCATAAAGTTTGTATTGTGTTTTCTGTATTTCGTTATAAAAGCTATGTAGTTTTATTATTTCTTAACGCAAAAATAAAAATAACCTATAATTTCTTGTAAAAATAAAAAATAAAGCAACATACAAATCTGAAATAGTACATTATGGCGCAAATGTGTAAAGTTGGTAAATACCACAGAGGCGCATTGAGGCCCGAGCCGACAGGCAAGGGTCTTAAGTAGCCGAGGACGCGGCGGTATAAGTAGCCGAGGACGTAAGTCAATCAATACACACGTGTATCATACGACGTTTTTCAAAACACTTCTGAATAAAAAACTCCAAAAACGAAAACGAGACGAATTGTGAAAAATGATTTTTTTTATGTTATAGATCGGCAAACGAGCAGACGGATTACCTAATGGTAAGCAATCAGCGCCGCCCATGGACGAGCAACGGAGAAGTTACAAGTGCGTTGCCGACCTTAAAGGGATTAGAGATTTGGAGATTTATGGATTGAGGAGGGATTAGGGGAGGGGAAGGATTGGGTCTCCGGTAACCTCACTCACTCGGCGAAACACAACGCTGTGGTTGTTTCACGCCAGTTTTCTGTAGGGTATCAGGTCCGGTCGAGCCGACCCATTCGTGCCGAAGCATGGCTCTCCCACACTTTTTGTTTCGTAATGGCAGATAAAATTATCTTTCTTTTTTTGGGCTTTCAGCGCAAGTGTAAACGTAAATCAAATAATAATTTAAAAAAAATATTCACTTGTGAATAGCAGTAATGAAAAAGTCATAGTTTGATAACAGGTGTCATTACGTGCTCAATTAGCGTGAGATTAGATTTACTTTATGAAGAAGTGTGTTGAAAAGTATATAAGGAAACTAAATTAAAATAGTTTTTTTCTTTTTATTATATCTTATTCATAATAGCTTTTTTCTTTAGATTAAATGTATAAGTACACGTGGAAGCTTGTAATTGGCAAATATCTCTTTGTAATGTGTTAATTAATTGTTGTGAATAGGCTGAAAGAAAGCTTACAGAAGCTTTCTTTAAAACTAAATAACTAAATAAATATTTTTTTGCGTTTTTATACAAGCAGGTGAAAATGGGAAAACAAAAATAAATATAGGCTTCTTTATTTATTCTCCTCACGCCCTAACCGCCACAAGAGGCACTCTGGGCGTCAGGGGTCGAGAAACAATCTCCGGCCACCGTAAGTTCGAGACCAGTTCCTCTAGGTTATAGAGGACAGGTGAGTCGCCAATCGCGTGAGAGTAAGCGTTTAACACCGCATAAGGCCACTCGCTACCCAAAAGGACATTAGTTTTTTTATGTGATAGGATGGCAAACCAGCTCGCAGATTACCTGATGGTAAGTAATCATCGCCGCCGCGTTGCTGAAATTTTTGGGATTAGAATTTAAGGGACTTAGGGATTGGGGGAGAGGAAGGATCGGGCCTTTAGTGACCTCACTCACACTGCTCCGGTCGCCATATTACTTCGGTCGAGCCGTTTCATTCGTGCGGAAGTATAGCTCTCCCACACTTAAAACCTGTAAACCTTCAAACTTATCCCACCTTAGCTCAAACTCTTTGAATATACAAATACCTATTAGGTCACGTATAATCCAAATCCAGTACAATGAAGTTATAATATGGCCAGTAATGACATTCCAGGGTTGTCACACATGCAAATAAGCCAGTAAAGTTGTGACAAACACAGTTACGGCTTACAATCGAGTTTATCGAGTTTCAGTTTTGGGACGATGTTATCGAGTTAGGTTATTTGAGTAGATTGTAATAGATTAGTGATTGCACGGGTAGTGGAGGGGTTTATTGCAGAGTTAGCGGGGCTGGGTGGCAGTGGGTACCCGCTTTCGGCAAATAGTATGGCTGTTTTTTTTATTTCGGCGTTTCTCGGTTTTACCCTCTGCTATTTTAGCTGATCAGCGTTGATCAGTGCCACTCATAGACACTTGAGTTGAACCACTAAAGGTTTGTCATAAATGTTTGTCCATGATTGCCTTGTGGTGTGCCAAACAGATTTTAATAATAAAAAATAATAAATTCAGCAAATTATTTGCTACGTTTGCTAATTTATCTGAAATTACAAAAAAAGGTATGTTCTGCCCTCCCATTGTCTTTTTGCCAACCCTAAGTGTTTCTTTTTTTTGTTATTTTCAGTTTACCAATTATTAATAAATATTAATTTAATTTTCTTTATAAGACATTTCAAAAGTGTATATACTGTGTATACACTTTTGTATGGTTTAGTTGGAATATAAGTGACTAGCTACTCTCGCACTGTTTCACCCGCTGCTCGGCTCCATTTACGTAGCATGATTTTTACAGCACTCAGGAATGTTGTAATAGATATATATCAGTATATACTGAATTTTGGCTCAAATTTTACCTCTTTGTAATAATATTAGTATAGATTGACTTTAAATTCGATTTTTAATTCGATGTTTTCAAATCATCATTATCACATGGCTGTACCGCTATAACTAACAACTACTGCCTATTCGTTTAGCGTAGGTGTTGAAACTTGAACCTAAGCCATGCATTGTAAGCCACAGCCTCACGCAAACTGGGCAGCTCGTCTTTGTGCTGGAAATTCGTTCGCTATCCATCCTAGAGCTCGTACACCTCCAATTATAAAGCTACAAAAGCGAGGCTACGGCCAGAATTTGTGGAGTAAATTTCTGTGAGCCACATATTTTCAGGTTACGTTGAATTGGAGGTAGGTTCATTGGCTTTAACTAGATTAGGTGTATAAAATACTAGACTGATGCAGCGGCGTGTAACGTAAGGTGATTTCGATTCCCGCATAAAACAACTCTTTGTGTAGTTCACAATTTATTTTGTGGAAAGCCCGCCACTGCTTCTTGAAAACGCTGCAACTCCTGTAAGCCAGGATCTATAGTAGATACAACAATGAGAACATCGAAACACTGACATATATCTTGGATCCCGCATCGAAATAAATCAGAAGATGTTATTGGAGGAGAAATTATATAACTACAAACATACCAAAGACACACAAAAAATACCTAATGTGTACTTCCTAGACTAGTACTTTTTACTGTTGTACTAGTGGCTCACCCCTGCTTCGCACGGGTAGGTAGAAAAACGACATCGCTTACGACAAACAACGTAAAAGGTCGTCAAAACCCGATTACTTCTCGGCTTACTAAAAATTATCTTTCATAAAAACTAAACCGCGGTTTCGATTCCGGCACGGATCAACTATTTTTGGAAATGTATGATTTAGTTGGCATAAATGATTTTGACTATCTATCCATAACGAGGCGCCATTCGATAATTCTCCCCCTATAAAAAACAGTCAACCACCTATCAACTAGGTACCCGTTGCAATACTAAGTTTCATAGAAGACTACATTCCATCATATTCCACAAACATGAACATAGTTATCTTGACCCCGTCTGAAGCGTTTAGCTTCAAATTATGCAAATGGGAATCAAACTTGTAACTTTCTCAACTAGTTGGCGTTTAAGTTTCATCGGTTTTCAGTGGCCTGGAGTTTTATAACAACGATCTCGGACGTCCAAAGCTGAAGCAGTGGCCAAGTTTGTTATACTTAATGATGAAGACTTTTACTTAGCTGTAAAGAGATGTGTGGGAGAGCCATGTTTCGGTACGAATGGATCAGCTCGACCGGAGTTCAACTTCAAATTCAAAGTTTTTATTTGCATGTTTATTTATTTATTTATTATAAGGTAGGCTCACAGCTTATGTATACAAAGTGGTTTAAAGTAATGGTTATAGGCAGTAGGTCATATATATTAGCTAGTTACGAGCTAACCAAAATTCTAAAAATTGTGCGTTCATACAGTCAAAGTATATAGTAATTAAAACTAGAACTAATTAAATTAACATAGGTAAGACAACAGTTAATCATATTAAAGTATTAATGTACAAGGATCTTAAATCAAAACAAGAGGCCCAGCTTAACGGCCTCTCTCAGGCTTTGCAAAGAGGACTATCACTAGCTTATAAAATAATATTAAATTACATTGCCTAAACAAAACAAAAAAAGAAAAAAAATTTTTTTTACATGCTTTATGTGAATTTTATAGTATTTAATAAGGTGATTGTGTGTGAGGGGCTGGAGTTTAAGGAGCCAACTTTTTTAACATTACAGATTTTATTTTATCTATTCTCTTTGTGGGGTAAAGTATTTTCTTTAATGATGATTTCATTCTCGTGCATGAGAGTGTGGGTTCGAAACCTGGCAAGTACCAATGTGACTTTTTCTGAGTTATATGTACTTTCTATGATTATTTAGACACCACTGACATACGGTGAAGGAAAACATCGTGAGAAACCTGGACTTATAATTTCTAATTATAAGTTTGAAATAGCCAACCCGAATTGAATTGAAGCAATTATGACGATCAATAGCGACTTGACTGCTATTAAGAACTGGTCTGAACGGTTTGGCATAGCGGTGAATCCTTTAAAATGCCAAGCAATCATTATAGGTAGCTCTCGTACGCTAAGCGGAATGAACCGAGAAAATTTACCAAACATTCTCTTTGATAGTGCCACTATCCCGCTAAGCAATGAGGTAAAGGATCTGGGCCTGTATATTGACTGTACTTTGAAGTGGCATGCACAAGTTGCGAGCGTATGTAAGAGGGTCACTGGATCCTTACGGACACTGTATCGACTAAAGAATTTGCTTCCGTGTTCTACGAAAGCGATGCTGGTGCAGGCCTTGGTTTTTCCTATTATTGATTATGCTGATGTTTGTTTCTACGACCTGAATGCTGATCTACTCAATAAACTTGACCGACTTCTTAACAACTGCATTCGATTCGTTTTCAACCTGCGTAAATATGATCATGTTTCTGCACATCGGTTGCAATTAAAGTGGTTGCCCATACGCCAGCGCAGGGAGCAAAGGGCGCTAACCACTCTGTTCTCTTTCCTTACCTCACCTTTTTCGCCTAGCTATCTATCGTCTTACTTTCAATACATGTGCGCAAACCACAGCAAGAACCTTCGTTCTTCCCATAACCGTCTTTTTCAATGTCCCACTCATCGTACTGATTTTCTCCACTCCTCCTTTTTCGTTCAGTCTGTCTTGCTGTGGAATGCGCTCCCCCCTGATATCAGGATGGTGTCTAGTCGTTTGACTTTCAAACAAAAGGTTCGTGAGCTCTTGCTAAAAGGTTTGGCTGAATCGTGACCACCATATATATAGTATATTATAATAAGTATAAGTATATATTATATATGTATATGTTATTTATAAATATATTATGTAATTTGAGTACTTAGTTTATATATCTATTGTATTGTAACTTGTATGTAAATATTTGCACATATATATGTATCTATCTCGTCTTCACTCATTTAAATTTAAGTCTGTTTGCTTGCTTCTTGCACCGACCATTGGCTCATCTCTGCATCACCCAAGGCTCGACTGGTAGAAAATGCCTAAGGCATTAAGTCCGCCTATGTACCCATTGTGCATGAAGTTTTAATAAATAAATAAAAATAAATAAATTGAACAAGCGTGGTGATTAATGCTCTAACCTTCTCCGTGTGAGAAGAGGCCTTTGCTTAGCAGTGGGCCCTTATGATAATGGGCTGATGATGATGACATTTTTCATAAGACCGTGTTTTATTACCAAAATCCTGAAAGAATTATATCCTGAAGATCTACTTAGACTTTGAATATTCTATTATACATAGTTCAACATAATACGCGATAAGTACTGAAGCTACTAGACTACAAGGTCGTATTTTAGTTCTAACACCTCTCAATAGCTCTCCAACATATCGAAGCATTCGATTACGAAACGTTGAGATGAAATCTTTGTGTACAAGTACCTACTTTGGAATAGATATACATAGGCAATACTAGAGACCCGCCCTCATTTCTTATTATTATTATTCTCATTTTAATTAATATACAGATACATGTCTTGGTGGTCAGGAGGTTAAGGAGCCCGCTTCTCATGTATGAGGATGTGGGTTCGAAACCTGTCAAGTACCAATGTGACTTTTTCCGAGTTATAAGTACTTTCTATGATTATTTAGACACCACTGACATACGGTGAAGGCAAACATCGCGAGGAAACCTGGATTTATAATTTCTAATTATAAGTTTGAAATCGCCAACCCGCATTGAGCAAGCCTGGTGATTAATGCTCTAACCTTCTCCGTGTGAGAAGAGGCCTTTGCTCAGCAGTGGGTCATTATAGGCTGATGATGATGATGATTATTATACAGATAAACTGCGCCAAAATCCGTAGCGTAGTTTTAAAGATTTAAGCATAAATGTGTAACAGTGTGGGCCGCGTAGGTATGAATTAGGTCTAGCTAGGTCGCGGGTTGCGTGTAGCTAG